AATCATGACATGATTATTTAGTCTCTTAAAGTTAAGCTTGGTTAGACTGGATGTCGTCCTTGAACAAAAGCCAAGTTACAAACTGCGGGTATTGTTAAAAATAGCGACATATGTCATTAAAATCATGTAATTGTGGTTAGAAGTGAACTTCACGTGGTATTCTTTCTCAAAACTAATAGTAAATGTAAAACAGGAATTAAAAAAAAAAAGGTTTAAATTGTTAGGCATGAAAGTGCTAAGCAATGATAATTTAGTTTAAAGTACCTAACATTATCATGTCAGAGTTGATACTAAAGCTTTAAAGGTAATACAAAGTTTTGGGAAATTTTGAAAATTGGCTGGATAGTCATTCTTTACAATTTTGATATATTTGGATGCCCATGTGAATGAAGTGAAAGCACCAGAAAATTAAGCCCCTAAAACACTTCTGCTTTCGAGAAAAATTGAATAAAACAATTTACCGGTGCTCCCGGTAAATTTTGATAAATTTCAAATAGCGCCTACGGCCATACAATGGTAGCTGCGACCATGAAAATCTCAGAATATATAGTTGTGATATATGATTTCCAAACGGGAATAGGTAATCGGTCGGTTTTAGTCAAGAAACATTGTTTTATAGCTTAATTAATATCTTGGCCTTGAGAGGGAGCTGTACAACATAAAGAGTTTATTATTTAAAATTGCATAACTTTAGACTCGATTTCAACCGCGACAACGATCACTGAATATAGTAGGATCACAATGCTTCTAATATGTTCATTTGAACCAAATTCATGACCTCATACCGAAACTTTGTAATACCTTTAACATTTTTCATTATTTTATCGGGCCTTTACCATTACACATAATCAAGAAACTAGAGGCGGGAAAGGAGAAAGAAATTACTTCTTCAATTAGTAATATTACTACAAAGCTATAAAGTAAAGATCCCTCGAACCAACTTGAGCAATCTTGTGCAGGGTCTCAATTTGCAAATTGTCAATGTCACTACAACCGCCATGAACGCCATGACAAGGCAAGGTTGTAGGGATGTCCTATAGGGGAGAAGCAGATTATGAATGACCATATATGATGGGATTCTGGCAAAGAGAATGTGGAAGTGGTTTGAGGCAACTGTTATATTAAAGAAAGGTTACCGCTATGGTTAGTCTGTTAGACATATTTTAAGCCCTGACTTTCAATATGTCATTCCACTCCATCAGACCCTACTCCCCCTCCGACATATGACGAACTTGGACAGACTGGCAAAAATCAGATTCATATCACCCTTCTACAAATGTCATCTCTCTATATCTGTGGCAGCTTCTATGTCTGTCCCTCTGTCATTCTCTCTCTCTCCCCCTCTCTCCCTATCTCCCTCTCTCTTTCTCTCTCTCTCTGTCCCTCTCTCTTCCCTATTTTTCTTTCATCAAATTATTGTCCTCCCACAATGACGAATTTTCTATCTCTCGGTCAGTTTGCTAATGTACCCTTCTCTCTCTCTCTCTCTCTCTCTCTCTCTCTTTCTCTCCTTTTGCTCCTTCATCAGAGAAAAAGGACGAATTATCTGTATATTTTTCAACTGCTCTGTCTATCCCTCTGTATACCCTCTATATATCTCTCTATCTTTCTCTCCCTCTCCCTCTATCTCTCTTCCTTCACATTCTTGTCCCCTTCCCACAATGATGAACTTCCGGTTCGTTTGTCAGTTTGTCAGTCTGTCCCTCTGTCATTCTCTCTCTCTCTCTCTTTCTCTTTCTCCCTCTCTCTCTCTCTCTCTCCTACATCAGATTCTTCTCTCCCCCTCCTCCCTCCTCCATTAACTAAAACAAATATGATACCAAAACTTATATTTTGCATTACAAACCTATTCTGCTTTACACCCTTTCTCGTGTGGACGACTTGAAACATAGCAGCATATGATATTAATTGCCGCTTACTCACCCAATCACAACTTGCAGACAGGGGTATTCTTAAAGAGTTAGCCGTATAATTGGAAACGCTTATCCATATCTTGAGTCCATACAGGCACTGAAATTGATATGTGTGTCCAGTTTATTGCATATGAACAACTCAATACCGTAGTAATTTTGATGATTACCTATCGTTTCTTGGGACGATAATCTCTTTATAATCTTGGGTTGCATTGAATCAGTATTTCGAAAAAGTTCATTTTAAGTGTCTTTTTTTCTAAAGTTACATTTCATTAGTAGAATTTAAACTCGATCGCACAGACTTTAGAAATATACTTAAGGCTAATGCCAATACCTTATTTTACATCCCATCGAACGTTCGTACGTTTCAAGCAGTGATGGGCGAAGCTACTGAAATTGCCTCGGGTTTATAAATTTTCAAGCCTTTGCAATCATTTTATTGTGAGTTAATGATATTATCATGATTATGTTTTGTTAGCATGCAATACACAGAAAGCAATCTAAGGGCCAACGAATGATGAAAACCTGTCTATAAAGACCTGTTATCATATAACTATGACTACAGTATCGTAATAACATACGATTACTAGGCGGGCGATTAATGAGAAACGGAACGTCAATATCTCTTTAAGTGACAGTTTCCCAGTGTACAAAGTTCGTTGGATGACTGTGATTTAGAAATGGTCGGCATCGAGTCGTTGTCATGGTTACTCAGGATGTTCTAATTCAGCTGTATGCAGTCATCATGTTCTTACTTATTCTTTGTTGCTGTTATGAGTTAATGTTCATGATTTTGTTATTATTATTTTTTTTGTATCTTTTGTTCCTAAATATGTTTAACAAGGCCTCATGGAAGACCACCATTATTGGTGATAATGCGACCCTGTCTAAATATCATAAATAAATAAATGCATAAATAGCTAGCTTTGTAACGTTTGAAAAACAATTATGACTTGAGATAATAAATTTGATTGTTCTTACCATCTGTATCTTAAGTTTTTAATGAATAAAATATGTTTATATGCACTACAGACTGCTCTTATTTAAGGGAATCTATAATTACAAGACTAGCTTTTTACTAGATTCCTTTATATTTCACTGCAAATATATTTGTTCGAATTTATAAGATTATATACCAAGCAATGGTATTTATATCTTCGTATGTTATTCTGACTCTATTTCTTACTTCTTACCATCCCTTAATATCATTGCATGTATTTGTATACCTATTAAAATAATTCCTCTTCGTTCTTATTGTTTTTTGTTCATGATTTATATAATGAATGTGAATGTGAAATATGAATTAAACTAAACTGAAAATACCCTGAGCAGACACTAAGACAACAAGCACGGAGAGCATTTTCTCTGCAATAAGGGAAAATTAATACAACGTAAATCCTACGCTGCTTTTAAGGGAGTAGAAAGCAATGATAAAAAACTAACAACATCAAACAAATCAAAGGATGATTAGGCTGTTAGTGTGATACATTATGATAAAATACAGTGTGAAATACATACATGCTAATAAAAAATGCAGAGTTTTTAAAGAATACTGTAGAATATAGTGTTTATGAAAGAATAATTTGAACTATAATTGAGCGAAACAGGAAACGGGAGACAGCGCCCGCATGAACGAAGATGATTTGATGGCACCCTTTAAGAATCATACTGGGTTTTAAACAATGAGAAATAAAAAATATTAATAACATCATAACAACATGAATCAATGCTGTTATTCCCGAAGGCCCTGCAATTATTATTACCCAGCGATAGCCAGATATCCATTTACACATGGGTGGAGAGTTGACAAACGTGGATTAATGTCTTGCCAATGGAAGTTTATGCTCGGGCTGCGATTCGAACCGTGAACCCTTTGATTGAGAGTCAAGTGCATAAACCACTTTACCACGACACCTCCGGATCAAACAAAGATGTATAGTGACAAAATGAAAGGATATTAGCTATAGAAAAATGTTGGTCTTGCAAATATATAAGTATTTAGTACAACACGTGTATGATATGTTTAGGGTGAATGCACCTTCGATTATAATTGATTGATCATATTCGAATGCGCTTAGTTGTTGTTATTACGTAACGAGATCGCAGGTGCTTGCTTCTTATAGATCTAAACGCTGAATAGTTTAAATGTGGGGCAACGATTCATTAAAAAGAGAGTGTGCAGTGTTTACCATCCCGTGTTTATCTCGCAATGTTTATATCAGGAACTTTTAGATTCGCACAAAGACAACGGGGATTGCTACGGTCGACGTCCTTTTAATGCACTGTCTTGAATGGACGTCACACATATCAGTCCACGCAAATCTAAACGTCCCTATTGTCACAATATGGGACACCGAGGGAGAACAGATAAACTTTGTCGGTAGATCTGAAGCGGGTGATCCCTCGATCTTTGTTTTGATTTTAATTGTGTAGAAGAGTCCATGTAAAATATTGTTTTGTTTTGTTTCTTTATGTGTTTTTACAAGACAGTAAAAGAGGATACATTTCTTTAAAGTGTATCAAGATGAGACAGTAAAACTAGAGAACGAATAATAATAATGAGTACATCAATGATCAATTCAAATGGTTTTCAATCTCGTGTTCTTGTAGTTGTGCGTGGTATCATGGAAATATTACGTAGCGAGGCCTAATAATGTGGGCAAAAAGAGAGTCCTAGTTGTGGATACTAACTTTGCCGATATGTTTTCCTGTTTTGTAGAGTTCGATAAATTTTCTTTTTATCTATACCCGAATGGGCTCCAACATAATGCTAATTTGACAAGTGCTTCGAGATTTATTTTCGTAAAAGATGTGGGGTTAGGGTCAAGATTGCAAGTAAGTTTAAAGGTCAGGTTTATGGTTAAAATTAGGAATAGGTACGCTGTTTGGTCCAGGTTAGGTTAGGAATTCGGTTTGTGTAGGATATTGGCCGGAGACAAGATGGCATAAGTGTTGCCGGAGCATGTGTCATTCAAGCATTTGATATCATCGGTTGTATTCATCTGGTAAATGTCGTACGACAAATGCTCCGACGATAACGATTCTTTCGACTCGATTTATAAAAGCAAATAATTTATTGTTTCTTACCTCCCGTGTAGGCGACCATGTTATCTACGTCGAGTGCAGTCTTCTCGGCCGCACCTCTGTTTAGACCATATTGGGGTTCCGTCCTACCTCCTCCTCTTGGTACGATGTTCCAAGGAAGCGTCATGCTCGAAACGGCCGTCATTGAAAGCGACGACAAAGAAACCTGAATACAGGCGGCCACAAAAAGGCCTATTAAAAGTAATTTTACCGCCATATTGGATGCGCTTTGTTGCTTCCTACTGATGCTAAATGGTACCTTAAAAGTAGAAAATGTGATGAAGCCTCGAAGGCGTTGTTGTGGCGTTGATGGATGCCTTAGCCTGAGTGAAAAGTTCGTATGAATGATGCGCGCAGACCACCCCTGCTACCAAGGAATCTATTGGCTCGCACTCGCAGCTAGCTATACCTCGCTGCCTGCCTGCCCCCTCAAAGCTTCTTAGTTTAAAGACCAAGCGGAAGGTCGTCCCATGAGTCGCCCATTGCTACAATTGCTGACTGAAAAGCTGTAAATTGGGCCCATCCGTGTATTTATATTATCAGACTTGAAACATCTATGTGCAAAGACATTGAAAGACACCGGACATTGGCACTTGCATGAATTGCCATTATAGCCCTCTTAACTAGGACAAATTATATAGCCAATTAAGACCTTGAAAAAAGACCGGAAATATTATTTTCTACCTTGATGTTAGAATGACTGATGTCTTCATGACGTCATAACACTCAAAGCTTCATTGGAAAACCTTTGTGTTATGAAACATCTATTCCATACCACACCTTCTCTAACAAACGCCCCTTCTCCGGCTCAGAGGTCACAATATTATTTATTTCATTTCATTTCGTTTATCCCATTTCCAACAAAATTAAATAAAATACATGGGATCGCATTGTGCATAGTAAAACAATAACACTGAACAATATAATTGTAATTGGTCCACAGCGTACAACAGGCATATAAAACAGGTTGGTCCTGGAGGGGACTGCTGAACAGCTGGGCGTGTAGATTGCAGCCCCCCTATTACTTAAAGTTGCAAAAATAGTATATCAATAATAAGGGAACGCACGAAATTAAACCAGAGAGACATAACATAAAAGTAGTGAAACGGACAGGGAAAGAAGGGAGACAAGGAACGAGAGAGGGTAGGACTCTTACTATAACACACACAACAAAACACGGACCGACCGTCTTTTTTCAACTCTGTTCGTTGCTACGGCAAACAGCCAGTGAAAACGGACTCGTTTAATCAAATTATGGAAATGCAAGCATTGCTTTAAACGAACAGAACTTTGTTATTCTTGGCTCATTTTCCCTGATTGAGATGTCATATAAAAGGGGCAGAAATTGAACTTTCTAGAAATTTGATTTTCTCTTTGAAATTCAGATACCGCCCGCCAAATGACTTTTTGGTTTCCTCTCTTCAAATCAAATGAAAGAAGAGGATCTAAGCTTTACAATATGTGTCATTTATTAATTATAATTGTGATTAAGTTATGATAAAACATCGATAATTCTCGGTTTCGTTTTTTTCTGGGACGCACTGTATATGCTAAGATTCAAGTATTAAATATAAATAAGGTGATTTTCTGATCAGTTGCTTATTCATCCTGGTGCAAAGCAAACTTTTACCGGTTTGAAAGCAGGCCCAGTTGGGAGAAATTAATTTTACTCTAGAATATTAGTAAACGGCAGTGGGTGCCTCAGGTTGCCTGAACATTACTTTAATTACATTAATTTCTCTCTCTATCCTTCTCTTTCTTCCCTTCTCCCTCCGCACCATTCCCTATCTCCCTATATTCAATCGTTCAAATCCGATATTTCTTCTAGATTGCTACTTGGTACAGTATTTTCAAATGTTCCGAATGATATCATTTCTGATGTTATTCCTTTGTATTGAATTCAGTCAATCCTTGAATCAAGGGAAATTATAAGTGTAGATAAAGAGGGAACTTTCATCAAGAGAGGATACGCAACAGGACGCATTGCTTGGTTACGACTGGGGGCCGGAGAGCGGATGAGGAAGGAGATGAAACGGTCACGCGTACAAGAAGAGGTTGAATAAAAAAGGTCAGGATTTCAACATACACATCAGGTTGAGGAGAGATGAAAACAAGGCAAAATACCCCCCCCCCCCCTCTCTCTCTCTTTCTTTCTTTCTTCCCTTCTCTCTCCGCATCATTCCCTATCTCCCAATATTCAATAAATCAGTTTCGAAATTTCTTCTAGACTGATACTTGGTATGTTCAACTAGTTTCGAATGATATCATTTCTGATTTGATTTCTTGTATTGAATTCAGTCAATCCTTACATTTTGGAAAATTACAAAGTGTAGATAAAGAGTGAACTTTCATCAAGTGAGGATACGCGACAGGACGCATTGCTTGGTTACGACGGATGACGGATGAGGAAGGAGATGAAACGGTCACGAGTACAAGAAGAGGGTGAATAAAAAAGGTCAAGATTTCAATGCACACATAAGGTTGAGTTATGATAAATTTCACTAAGGAGAGATGCAAATGAAGACAAAATATCTTGCGAGATAGGTATGTTCCTACAGGCTTCGTGTCTTACTAAGCAGTTTGTTTGCTGTGTCTAAAACTTTCAGAACATGAACATCACCCCCCCCCCCCCCCCTCCCTCACGTTGGAGCAGTGTGATACATTGGTTAATGCTCTTGACTCTCATACGAGAGGTTCTGGGTTCGATTATTCTCGGTCGGTGGTTACATCCTTGGACAAGGTGTTTTGCCCACATTTGTCCATCTCTGCCCAGTTGTAAACGGGCACCTGGCAGTATTTTGGTAATATTGATTACAGAACTGAAAGGAATATGTATGTATCTTTATACGCAAATGACAATGACGTTGCGATGACAAAACAACAAAAGTAGGTCAGTTGAAGAGGGTGGTCATTATATTATACTTAAAACAACTGACAAATTCTTCCGGTTTTAATCCAGACCAGCTGAAAATTTACGTGATTCTCGAATATTGATCATATATGGTCACGTTTTCATGGCGAGCGGTAATATGGTAATAAAGAGTTTCCTTTATCATAGAATCATGAAACCGCTCTTTAATTTAGACGAGCAGCGAAGAGTTTATAATACTCAGTATGTGAAGTGCATTGTATGTTAAAGAAGATAGTAATCCTCTAATAGGTTGATAATATAGTAATAATAAATATAATAATAATAATAATAATAATAATAATAATAATAATAACAACAACAACCGCAATAATAACAATAACAATAAAATAGTAGTGATAATGATTATAACATCACCATCACTACCAACAACAGCAATATTAAGAATTCTTATAAAAAAAATATATATATTTATTATAACAATGATTTGTAAAAACGATAATGACAATGATGATAATAATAACAACAAAAATAATTGAAAAAGTAATTATTATAATCGAAAAACTAATTATGATAATGATAATAATAATAATTATAATAACAATAAGAATGATGATGATGATGATGATGATGACACACTTTTAAGAATTCTGTTTCCTTCTTTGCAGTGCAAAATTAATAGAGTGTTTATCTGGTAATCAAACGTTCCGATAGGAAAATTGTAGCGTTTTAAGTGACAAGAAGACAAGAGATATTGAGCAATGTTTGGTCCGACATTTGCTCTGGCGACAATTACTCTGGGCTTTATTTCGTCAAAGACTTTGGGTCGGTATCAGAGGTTCAATTTGGTTTTTAGGTTAATTTGGTTGAGTTTATCGTTTAATTTGTGCCCAGGGCACACTATAGTAACAGGAATAATTAGGGTGTTTTAGAAGTGTTTATCGTAGGTTACCGTTCATTACTCAAAAGTCATGGTAAAGACACACGACGCATAAACTACCTTTCGTTGAAAGCTAACTCATTTTATTAAAAAATCTATTTAAAATTGAAAATAGTTTAATAGATTGAAGAAATATATTATTAACAAAAAATCGGTTAAAATAAATTCATCAAGTGGGGCTTAATTTCAGCGAAAAGTGAACAGAATGACCTGGCTCTCACGTGAAGCAGTTAAAGTCATAATTCAATAAGTAATCTGTCATATTATATTTTTGATATGTGGAAACGCTGACAAATTCAGGAAATGGAATTCCCTGTCTGATAGCCCGACGTGGGTGATATTTAAGTACCAGTCACTGTCGCTGGTACGAAAGATACTCTTCAACTTCTTTTGGGGTTTAGGACAAGATGTCACCCTACTTAGGGTGCGTTTATTACTAATTTGCGAAGCCATCACCGTTTCGTAACAGAATTATGAAACATAGTTTTGAAACGCATTTTTCACGATACGCTGTTTATAAGCTCTGTTCGTGAATTTTGTAACTGTGTATTTAGCTGTGTTCCTATTATTTAAAAAATATTTATGAAAAGGCTACGGACACAATCATGCTTCTTTTTTTTTTCTCTCTCTCTCTCTCTTACGTCAAGTAACGCCTGGCTGGAATGCTCCCCAGGGCGTGGAGTTTGTGCACACAATGTGTGCGGGCAAGTATTGAATCCAATGACCGGGGTAATAGTATATCTGTAAAGCACTTAGAGACATTTGTATCGAGCGCTATATAAAAGCGGAATATTATTATAATTATTACCCTCAGGCAAGTGAGATATTTTTACAGTGATTAGGTTTCCTAATGCCCTCGACGTTTTTCTCCCCCTTTTGGAATATTATTTACTGTATTTAATTTTGTATTATATGAAGATATATATGAATTTAAATTACAAAAACGAGAAAATGTAATCACAGAGACTATTTATTTGCTTTTCTTGATTAGGAACCTCGTAAATTGTGATTTTTCTGTGGTGAAACAGAGGTAGAGCTGATGAGATGGTCACCTAGTTTGCTAAGAGGGGTAGTACAGTAGTAGGTTGAATCTAATCCTGACTGTCAGGTGTTGAGACCCTAGCTAATCTCAGAAAGGAAGACCGAACCCAGCCCTACTCTTCCCCAGACACTGTCCGCTGACGTCACTCCAGGCTCGGCTTACTTTACCCTATCCCGTAGAGAAAGGAAGAGATAATTACTCCGTGGATATGACTAAGCTTTCTACAGTCAGCAGTCTATTTTCAGTCCAGGTTTATATCAATATCAGCTCAGTTTTGTAAAAACTTTTCCAGAATTTTATTGAACAAATAAGTGGTATTAATACACGTATCGCGATGTCTAGCGTGGGATCTCGAATAATGTTATGTGTGCGAATTAACTGTTAAAGCCTCCCACTTAAATTTCGCTCTATGTTACTAACCCCGCAGAGTGCATTGTATCTTCAGAATACGATATATTTACTTTTTTCCCCAAAAAGATTGTTTTAAGTCGTTTAAATAATAATGCAGACAAGTGTAGTATATTTTTATTAATAACAGATTAAGAAAAATTAGATTTTGCAAAAGCTGTGTATTACTCATTTAAACCTAATTATGTATGTATATATTTATGTATCTATGTATATGAGGGTGTTTTTATGTATGTTTATACGTATGTAAGGATGTATGTTTGTACGTATTTAAGGGTGTATGTAGGCATATATGTGTATAATAAACTACAAGTGCTTCGTCAATTTGGAATAAATCATACCATACTTTAAAAACTGTGGGCCTAGGATTGTGCATAACTGACGCATGTGTATATTTTATCCCGACTGTTATGAATCATCGTCACATTTGAATGTTATCTTCAGTACTTGTCTGATAATAAATAAAGAGCCCAGGGTCTCATGAAAAAGCATGTACAAAACGAATAAACAACACGTGTCTGTGTAATCAACAATATCAGTTCTAATATCATCTTACACGAGACTATAATTAACATATCATTATTAATTTCTATGCCTATATAATTATAATAATAATAATATTCCGCTTTTATATAGCGCTTATACATCTACGATTTCTCTAAGCGCTTTACTCCACTCCCTGGGGAACATTCGAGCCAGGCGTTACTTGACGCTCAAAAACTGTTTGACCAACAATGACAGTCGCATCCTACCTGGTACCCATTTAGCACCTAATCATTACCATTCATCAAGAGAAAATTTCTTTATTGAAAGTGGTTTTGACTATCAGGTAAGAGACAAGTTCCTGTTTGTGATAGTTCTAAAATATTTGCACTACATTTCTATATGTAAACAAGGTCAAACACTCATGTTGAACCGTTTAACCATGGACCTACTAATTAGTAGGTCCATGGTTTAACGATGGTTTAATTATTTGGCCTGGTTCGTGACCTATTTTTTCTAGTTAGTCTCATTATCAGGCTTAATCTATGTTTTAAATTGCATTTCAGATATACTCGAGGTTGAACTGAACTCGTGAGTATTGTTTACGTCATCAGTCACATGGGGACGGGGTTGTATCCCTTACAAGGACAGTCAGTGATAACCATCAAACCTGTACGGTTTCTTATGTGAGAAGCACTTTGGTGTTCTCTTACTTCTAAACTTTGAATGGCAATCAGATGGAATTACATTATTTCAGTAAGACCTACATTTTAAATCAGCCAGATGAGTTCATTTGTATAGTGATGTATATTTTTCAAATCTTATTTCGAGCCATGTATATTTCTTTACATAATACCGATTCCAGCATAATCCCATCATTATGTTTAACAAGTCATATTTCTTGCAATTCTTTTGAAACCCCATCAATATCTTAACAGTCATGATTTTGTTTTGGGTTTTTTCTTCAAATTGTGAGTTTTTAATAACTAAATTCTATGTATTTGGATTTGCCTAACAGTCATTGGAATAAACAAATTGACTAGAATATCGGTATTTAAGTCGCTAATGTTATTGTATTCCAGTGCGTAATCCGTATATGTCTCTCAATTAGGAAAGGGATTCGACAAAACTCCTGTTTATAACGTGTTGACAAAAGGGTTGATTGAGGATGATAAATATTAAAACAAGAATGTAACTGCTTTCACAAGTCGGTCAAGTATTTTTACATTCAAACTTATGTACAGACAGTATCTCTTCACCTAGTTAAAACATTTGACCTAGCCGTATTTACCAACATAATCGTGCATGAGCAAGTGTAAGTTAATCTATTCGAAATATTAAGCACGAATAAAATGAATTTTCAGAACTGTTTCTCTCCCCTCCCGTTCCTCCTTTTAAGAACTCATACGCAATATATGAAGCCAATCTATTAGACATTAAGTTCATGTTGTTATTATGCAATTTATTATTTTTGTTGATCCAAAATTTACAAAATATTGCACTTTATAATAAATTTCAAACAATACGACTAGTAAATATTGGCTTTCTTAAATGTAAGGTACATCATTTTGTTGATACGACTGTATCAAAATAAACTAACATATCAACATATCCGACACTTTTCCATATCGTTCAACATTTCAGTTTACCAATCGTATTTTCTGAATATATGAAGGTAAAGAAAATCCGGAATAGCAAATTTATATTTAACACCTAACATTGTAACCACTATTTATACAATTTTCATGATGTATATGAGAACAAAAATACTATTGCACCTTTCCACATAAGACATAAATAAGAATGTGATTTAAAAAACACTTGGTTACAATAGTTGTGTGTTATATCAATATATTACAATGACCTTACATAGTAACATCAAAAATCTTCACCGAAATAAAGAAAATACTAAATTTCCTAAAGAAGATCGCTTGAAAATAAAGAATTCTAAAGGGTGTCTGCGTATATGATTGAAGAAAAATATATACTGCCAAAGGGATCGGCTATATAAGAATTACATTTTCATCTTAAAAGAGAATCATATGATGCAATTCAGGTTTTTGTTTATTTAAGCTCTATGTTTCTTTTTTTTTTTTTGTTGCAGATTAAATAAAAATGGATGACTCAAATATATTTTTTAAACGTTATTTCAACCTTCCTTGCTAACCAATATTAAATTTGATATCAAGAAATCAAATTGATCAGGTTAGATTACATCCATATACAAACAAATCGAAAAGGGGGAATCTTGCGTAATCTCGTTATTCATTAGACTGAAGTCTACCACCAAATGAAACAAGAACGTTTTCAAAAGAGCTGCATTAGAAATTATATTATGAATAAAATTACATTTTCATGAAGATTGCGAACATCCCAGACAAAAATGCGAAGAAGATGCTGAACGCTGATGACGTCACAGATATGGCACTACTTCCTTCTATGTTGGTTCCTACGGAAGAGCATAATTATAGAATAAAGATTTATTTCTACATGTCAAATCTGAATTTATATGCACACGATTAATTTCAAGGAGGTCAAAATGACCTTGACTTTCTTTCATTTTGATACAGGATGTAGGTGCATTTCATTTGTCTGAATACAAAGAAAGATTTTGTGAATGTTTAAAACACTTTTCATAACCCATGTATTCATTCTGTTTGATTACTTGCTTCTTCAGTTGCTTTTTGTTGGATGCATCTGATCCATCAACTTCACGAGACCATGACAAAATCAATGATCACAATTACCATAATATCCACAATTAGATGTAGTAAGCACCCAAAAATGAGAGATTTACATCAAAATAATACTCAGAGAGAGTCGAGGAATCATTTTTAAAAGTGTATACAAGTATAATTTATAATGTACATGACGAATGATATATTTTCAGTTTACTGAATAATCGGAACAAATTGTGATTTGGACCAGAAGCAGGTGGGCAAAGGTGTTTTGGAGAAGACGCAGGTGGGGCAAAAGTGTTTTAGAGAAGAATGCGGTAGGTCCTGGGGTGCCAGGACATAAGGGTGTCAACATATAAATATATCGAGCTGTCCGAACATACGGGGCGGTGTTATACTTACCAAGTGTCTTGAGTAACATCCAGTAAGGAACATCGATCACCTCATACATAGAGACTGTACCACTCACTCGACCGGTCACAAGGAGGAGAGGCTTGTTAGTTTGACTCTTTTCTGGAGGGATGAATCTAAAGTAAATTTTTGAAGAAAAAACAAAGACATTTTTTGATGACATCTAAGACGCGTTCTATAAAATAACAAAAGGCACAAAGCACCCTTCAAAATACTTTAGACTATTAATATGAGCAGAAAGAGTTCATAAAAAATCAGTAGTAATTGCGTATAGTATTAAGCAAGCGTCCCCCATCCCATCCTTGCCGCATAATTTGTGGAATCGTATTGATGGGATGCACCGACAACGACAGAGAATGACCTTATATAGAGTAATGGATATAATTTCTAAATGAGATGATGATTCATCATAGGCAGAAGTCGCTTTATCCTTATATATCTTACGACACATACTAAGGCCAATAGTGATTTTCTATTAAACGTTTTAGAATATGTTAACCACTTAAGTTTTTACAAAGGCAGACAAATGTTTCTCCGAGCAGAGTTCTCCATTAGTGCAAGGATTCGCCTATCCACAATGTCGAATTCTATTGTGATCCTTATTTAGTACACGATACGTACTAAGGCCAAGAGTGATTTTTTATTAAACGTTTTTATATGATGTTAACCATTTCAGTTTTTACAAAGAAAGAGAAATGTTTCTCCGAGCACAGTTCTCCATTAGTGCAAGGATTCGCCTATCCGCAATGTCGAATTCTATAGTGATACATTAAGTGGTATCCAGACGGGAAAAGTGCAAAGTTTATCGGAAATCAGTTGTTTAAACTAGCTATGAAGTCATTCGACAACACAATAGTCAAAGAAGCAAAACACAGAGAGTTTTTGTAATGAGAACCCAGACCTAGCCTAGAGACCGTTTTGTCATTATTTTGATCACCATAGCGACCGTCTATTAACCATGACGGGTTAGCATGAGATCATAGGCGACGCCCTAATTGTATTATCCTCTCCGTGACCTTTCTGAGTGAGAGCCTCTTTTTACGGGACTAAAACTGTAGCTCAGGTCAAGAACATGGTCATAGTAGTTGCCAAAACTGTCTCTAAATGCGGAACGTTCATCCCTCGTTGCTTTTATGAGTAGTTGATTCATTTGAAGGATAGCAAAAATAATATGCGGTGTAATACCGTAATCTGTAGGTCTTTTTTTGGTCTGTTATCGATGTACATGTCCATAGTTACGAGCGCACACTTGTCTTGTGAGCATAACAAATCAAAATTCCTGTTGTTGATGATGAAAATTATTATTATCATTTTTGAACTACGATACTGTATCAAAATTGTATTCGCAGTCATATCCTTTAAGAAAGTAATTCAGAATTCTTAACATACAGAGACTGTACCACCTTTCTACTTTAATATTGATACATATTTATATAATACATTCTGAACACCATCGACACATAACAATCGTTCAAAAAACTGTTTGACATAGGTGGCGCTAAACAGCTACATCCTTATCCCCTCCCCTATTAAAAAAGGATAACTTCTGTTATATTAGTAACCTTATTCGTTCCAAATTTTGTTACAGTTTTTACATCTGCCCTCATACAAATACTTTTGCAAACTTTGTCAGAAAACTAGGATAAGTGTAAATGCTCAATCTAATTAGCTCGAATCCTAAACGAATCAACAACAAATGAAGTACTCTGTAAGGTATACACTTTGACAAACGGGCAGGGGATTGTGAGAACAAGAGAAATATTCTGATACCTCTCTGATTATTTTTTCAAATATTTTCAACCTGCAGTATACATTCTCTTATTAGCAGTCTAAAGATTAAATCTCTTTTTTTGTGTAAATGTTTTAAGTTACAAAATTGAATACCCATGAACAAACAATTTGAACTCACGAAAGAGATTCTGGGGAAAGGTCGCCGGTTTTTCGGTTTTTGTAGAGGGCGTTATAGCTGGCATCAATATGTCCGTCCTTGAAGAGGGATTCGTAAACAGGTGTGCTGTTGCCAGGGGCAACGGAGAAGATGGCGAGAGCACTTACTCCATCAATACCAACGAAGATAAGTTTTCTGCCCTGGACATCACCAACAGCTAGAGACTCACACTCAGGCCCCTACGAGATACAAAACAAAACAAAATTACTCAATATATGTTGACTGTCATGTATATTCTTATTTCTACGCAACTTTTTGGACAAAATGGGTGGAATAAGAAATCGCCGGTGATCGCAGAGATCATATCGTTTGTGTGTTTTTCTCGGCCGAGAATCATCATAAAAAACAATAAAACAATATAACAAAGTCGAAGACTTATATAACAATAATAGAATGATAAGACGATTGGATAGTCCATTTCAGAGCCATTAACCTAATGGCTCTGTTCTTCCACGGAGTCCAACCATTGAAGTCCGTTACATTGCTTGAAGGTTATGCTCGTTTTGACTTACTACACTACTATCGTGAAATTGTGTAATTAATATTTCTCTTTTTATATACACATATTGTGTTATATTTTAAATATTTTTGGACCAGTTAGCCTAATTTCGTTTGGCCTCTCTGTGATGTCTTGTGTGTTTCTGTGACTGCCAAAATGTTGATATGTGCAAAAAATACTTGATTGTAATTTGAAATTTCGTATTTTCACTACAAATTGTGTCCTGCTATATTGGAAACGTAATGTTTATGGTCTATTATTTTGGTCATAACAGGGTTCCTTGCTTAAATGTTTTATGCCCGTTTTATACAATGTGTCATTCTACCAATTGTAATGTTAGCATACTTCATATTAATGTTATGTTATAAAAGATCATGGAATACTATAGGATATTAATCTGAAATTTGGAATTAAAATTTGTTACGCAGCCAAACAACAGACTTATAGGCATCATACCCCAGTCACAGCGATGAGACCGATACCAGACCATCGAAAGAGGGATCAGTTATGGCAGTGTGACTAAGGTATGAGACTATCGTGCGATCGTCGTACGTACCCTTCCACTCGATCGCGAGTCCTTAGTCATGAACGGTTTAACTCGCTGGGGAGGACGAGAGAATGCGGCTCCGTTGAAGATCTTGGGGAAGAACTTTGCGATCTCCTTCTCGATGACATCACCGCTGTCCCAAGCCAAGGTCATGTTCATAGTTATAGGGTCAACCTTATAGGCTGAGATACCACGCCCACCGAACATGAATACTTCGTTGAAAAATTCTGGCTCAGCAGGATTGATACCGTCGACCATACTGAAGAGAGAAGAGCCTGTTAGGAGTGTGAAATAGATAATTCATTTACGGATCCAGAGTAATGAGCGATTTACATTAATATTCAAACTAAATATAAAGGGTAATATAAAGATATGTGAAGCAAAGCTTAATTCAAAGTGCAACATCAGGTCTTAAAGTTATCGAATGGAAATAGAAGAAAAAGACTTACTCATCAAAGTTTGGGCCAATAGATATTTAGAATTCCCCATTTGATAGGGCGAGATTTTTGTTTGTTTAGAAATGATTATGAACTACCGGCACAATTTATTTACATATATTTCTTACTTTTTTTTAAATGTATGGTACAAAACCGCCCTCATAAATGGCTCGCAGACATTCTTAAGTTATCTCAACTTTTGTGATGAGATTGTTTGACACTTTATCCTCAGCAATGTGTTTGCATTGAATATATGGTAGCGCATGAACGCTTGGATTATTGTGTATTGAGTAGTTAATGAGGCCAGGGTGTGTTGTTAAGATAGATTTTACCTGTATGGCATATAAAAAAAATGCGGCCAATACACATGTTTTGAATTTCAGACTTCAATACAAACTCACCTAACTGTGTCTCTTCAGCCATTGCTTGTCCCAGGGGACTGTCTATCACGGGTTGGGGAAGTAGCTCTAGGAGGAAAAAATAAGAAGAAAACAAATACGATTTAATGCATGGTGTCTATGTTTTATTAGACCCTCTAAGGTCGTTTTTAGTATATTCAGTTAACATATCTCGTCGATTATACGAACAAACGATTATTAACGTCATATTGATATTTCATGCTTTTCTTTGCATTTTCCATACTTTATTGATTAGTATTGATGTCCTCTTCGATGTTATATACTGATTAGTTATTTACACCCAATGCACACTTAAATGCGGCTTATCTACTTACTCTTTTTCAACTGACACTTGTTCGTTCCAAAGATTCTGTTAGACTTTCAATATTTTATTACCCTGTGGGGCCTACAAACAAGCTTCTAGTACGATTTTACCTTAGACTCCTTCATATCCTTATTTTTTAATTTTAATTAGTCCTGTTTTATAAGTAAATAAGAGCAAATAAAAGTGATGTAACACATCATAAGTAGTAATGTTTCTTTAAAATACCTTTAGACTATTCTTATCATTATTATTCCTTGAACTGAAACTGAACAGGATATTCATACGATAATAATTATTTAGCAGTAATCTTTGAATAAGAAGTTAACTTCGAAGTAAACTTTGAAGAGTCCTCACCTTCTACGATGAATTCTTCACCAATCTCGACTTCTTCGAACTCTCCTGGTCCGCCAGGGCAAACTTCGAGGGAACACGTAGCCATCATAGGTTTAGCGCCCTCATTTGCCGTTACCACGTAAAGATCACCCATAGCGTCGTAGTATGTTTCGATTGCATCTGGCATGGGAAAGCTGTTTAGCTGGTCGTATGTCTGGAACATAATGCCTGCAGCCGAGAGAAACGAGCAGAAAAAAATGTTTCATTAAAAAAAGAACCCTAAATAAAATAGTTATACAATTTAAAAGGTTACTAAAAAGGTAACAGACTTAGGCCTACGAGTCTGTCCTGGGAATTTTAAAATCACCGATGTTCGGGCAAACTTCTTCTCACATTGGGGTTGTGGGGTGACCTATTTGTAATTTTCTATATCTTATGTTCAGTTTATTTCATTAAAAAAGAAGTCAATTATTAAATTAAATTGTTATGATGACAAAAATTCTTTCGTCACTAGTTTCGCTCGCTCAATCAAAACAATTGGAAAGTTTGGAATTGTAGCATCTGAACGGCGACCTGACATCTGCTCCTTCGACATTTGCTATTTGCTTTATTTTCTTCAAAGCGTAGGGTTAGGGTTAAGATTGCCATAATATTTTAGGTTGAGTTTAGGTTCAGGTTTAGGGTTAGGGTTAGGGCATGGTTAAGTACAGTGGTGGGTCTGACCGGGGTTGAAGTTATGACTTCCGTTGGTGTAAGCAACTGTTGCAGAAGCATGTGTCGTACCATCCTAGATCTCCCTGGGCTTCATACAAAGACTGTACTGGGCAGTGCTGCCCAAGATACATATTAATGGACCTTTATATCTTGCCAAGTAAAACAGTATGCGTCAGGTTTTTATATCTTTCTCACAGTCAAGAACCACACCCCATCCAGATACCCCTATAATGGTACCCTCCGATTTGGAGTGGTAGAAATCCTTTCTTCACCTCTATCCGCACTGCTTGCATCGATCTTGAGTCCCTTCCAATTCTTCACACCCATCGGGAGAATATCAATCACGGTGTTGTTATTCAAATCGACGACTGCGATGGCATTATTTTCCTAAAAATAACAAGGATTGTAGAGAATTAATGACAGGAAATGCTGTTGATAAAATAATTTAATTTTCAAGTACGGCTGAATGCCCCCGCCCCCTCCTGAATCCGTCCCTGCGTATCAACATTCGAAATAATGTCGCAAATTTCCGTTTCAAGGATCCTTTCTTCCCTGCCTTCTTTTTCTTTTTCTTTTCTTTTTCTTCTTCTTCTTCTTCTTCTTTTTCTTTTGACTTTCTTTTTTCTTTTTCCTTTATTTTTTTCTTTTGATTTCCTTTTTGGTCGTCGTCTAAAATATTTGTCATGACCCTTCATTTTCAATATCATTCGAGTTCCTTCAAAGTATTCTAGCCACGAGCCCCTGAAGGTCTGTTTATTCATACCTGTAAGCTGATATAAGCGATCTGTTCCTGGCCATCCAATGTGATGTGTCGAGGTTCAAGTCCTCGTGAGAATGTGTGTGGACCAGGGTCACCCAACTGACCTGTGTAAGGCTGACGAACGTGGAGTGCTTTCAATCGCTGGACCCTGTTATCAAAAAGAGTATAAATATGTTAAAGACAGGGTATTTTACAGACATCGTCACCACTGATGTTATGTATGTCAGCGCTTAGATGCATTGAATTAAGCGCTTTGTAAATGTAATATATTATTATTATCATTATTATGTGTTACCAAATGCGCCATCTTTCTGCGATGGCTTATATGGTGCGATTTCCGGTTCCTGTAACCAGTACCCCAATCATCATCATGCGCGCGTGATCATTTGATGATGCATTGTGTGACCTGGCTGTCGACACATCGGCATATAGCAGTAAAGTAGTGTCAGTTAGAATATCCTGCCTTTAAATATATAGTAACTTTAGTTTGAAGAAAGGGGAAGGTATCTACCAAATCAGCATCACTTTACATTCAGTAAAATAAAAACCATCAACTTATTTCCACGGAAACATGGATCATGTTATAAGCTATCTTTGTTTAAGAGGCTCAAACATTAGAACGATCTGTGCAGAACTATGTAGCTCAAGAAAAGTGTGCTATATCAAATACTTTTGGAATTGCTTATTATTGTGTTAAATTTGCTTTATGTTTGTCATATTTTATCTTCCGTTTTTCTTGCGGCCTCGTACAAAATAAGAAGATGGTGATGATGATGATGGTGATGATGATGATGATGATGATGATGATTATGGTGATAGTGATGATAGTGATGATGATGATGATGATGATGATGAAGATGAGGATGGTGATGGTGATGATGAGGCCTGCTTCAACTGACTTACTCGGCTGGTGCGTTGAATTTGTGGAAGTTGATCTGACTGACAACGTAGCTCATAGTAGATGTTCCATTGCAGATTGTACCGGGTAAAGGTGTAGTCGGAATCATGGGATACTGAGGGTTGTTTCCACCACCTTGGCCGCCTTGTCCTCCTCCCTGGCCCCATCCTGGAAAAGAAAAAAACATGCTGAGTGATTATTTCATCCTTTTATCTCATTTCCATACATTGTTTTCTTTTCAAATGTTTAGTAACATAACCAAGCGAGCAATATATTAATAAATAATGTTTAGACGGTGACATTATTTGATTTAATAAAGACTGTAACAAAGATGGAAATTTGCCATTTTGAAATTATATTTATAATCATACGAAAAAATATCGAGGCGAAAGTTGTAGTATTATCAGATATCAAAGAGATTTAATCCCTTATATAGCTACCAAATAAAACTGAAAATGTATTTCAACCCGATAATGTAAACAGAACAATCAGTAAAGGTATTGAAAATATATGTATCATTAAAACTACTTTATTATCTTTTTATTAATATGTATGAAATGAGTAGACTTTCAACAACAAAAATTATCAAACGTTTGATGAACTGCCATACCCAGAGATAGCGCAATGAAGAATGAAAAGCGTGATTACAAATATGATTAAAGAGGAGAGATAAATAGAGAGTGACCGTGTTATAAATATAGTCTTAAATGAAAAACAGAAGGGACTTCAGTCAGGATACTTATAGTTCCATATTCATCCCCTGAGTAAGGATTGGCAACTGCCGATAAATGTCGTATAAAGGATAATTAATGTTGTTGCTGTGCTTTGAACCAGAAACCATATTAAAAAACATATAATAATCACACGTACCGCCTTGTCCGCCTTGTCCGCCTTGACCGCCCTGACCGGGGTAATAACCTGGTCCACCCTGTCCGCCTTGTCCGGGGTAGCCACCTTGACCGCCTTGGCCGCCCTGTCCGCCCTGTCCGCCCTGACCGCCTTGTCCTGGGTATTGGCCTTGACCGCCTTGGCCGCCCTGACCGCCCTGACCGCCTTGTCCTGGGTATTGGCCTTGACCACCTTGACCACCTGCTCCTGCATTAGGGCTCCACGTTGTACCACGAGGGAAACCAGCCATCGGTGTGGTCATCATTGGACCACCAGCACCAAACGTGGTGTTCACGATCTGCTGACTGGGACCATTAGAAACTGAACCTATGATGAGAATGAAGACAAAAATATATATTTAATAACTGATTAGTCATTATTTTGGTGACCCTAGATGTATATTATTAATGTCAAAATCGGAAAGTTTAGTGATACAAATGTTTTAAAATGCTTTGAAAATTAAATTACTTTTTCTTAGTCGTCTGCAGTTGTTTATTGTTTACATAAAAAGCTTGACATGTTTTGTTTTGACCTACAGGTCAACTACAGTTTGCATTGTCGTTGATGTAACTGTTTGTTGTCGTTGCTTGTAAACTGGACGTCATATGTCTCAACGACTGAGTCGCATGGTGTTAGCTTGCCGTGGCCTGGAGCTTACTAGGTGGAAGTAATTGTAGCTTGTCGCAAGCATCGTCGTCGGGTGATCCTGTCGCGTCCGGTCTTTCAGCATACATGTTTTTCTCTGACCATTACAGCCGTCGGCAGTCGTTTGAGAGATCACCTCAGTTGACATTGTGGAACAGGCCCGCCAAAAAAAGCTGGACGCGTCATTTGACGTAAGATTGCGTCAGTGACTGGTGCATCTTTGACGCGCCAAAAAAGACGCGCAATGGAAGTATGACATCGTAAACATATAATAGTGAAATGAACAACGTTGTGATGAAGTACTGGCGTATGAGGTATCTGCATTATTGGGAGTGATAAAAATGATGCCTCGCGGTGCAACAGACGCAAGCCCCGTTACGTTATATCTTGCGCCAAATGAACCCTAGTGCGATAATTGCATGCGCCAATAATTCAAAGCAGTTTTATTGTTCATTTTGTATCACTTTTTGTTAGACGTCATGATGTCCAACGGCCCGTCAAAAAACCATGAAAGTCTCTGACGCAGTACTAAGTCAGCAAATGAGGCCAATTGTGCAAATAGGACTTACCTGCTAGCCTAACTGTAGTGATGGTGCCTTCAGGGTTGACGTATTTCTTAGTATAGTTGTTCTCTCCCATCACGCCTTCGTTGGCGACGATGATGAGGCTGCAACCTTGGGCGAAGCGGACGGCGATAGGCTGAGAACCAACTGGATATTTAAAAAGAATGAAAACAATGTGTTATCGTCATTAAATGATTTATATTTATACACAAACAAAAAGATATAATAGATAAGTAAAAAAGAACAAATGTCTCTCTTCCTCACTCTCTCTCTCTCTCTCTCTCTCTCTTTGTCTTTCTTTCGTTCTCATTTTGTCTCACTCTATCTTTTTCTACCCCACCCCCCCCCCCTCTCTCTCTCTCTCTCTCTCTCAGGCCTGTTTTCATCAGCTCGAGATTGTCAAATAACCCACTATTTTAACTATCCCGATCGCAAATTATCCAGCTAATTTGCGTCTTCATCAGCCCGCAGTTGCAATTAGCGGGATATTTGGTCGAGATATTCATCCCAAGATATCTTGGGCTAGTTTGCAAAATATCCCGCTATTTGTCCGGTGCGTCCTCACCAGCCCGAAGATTCGCACTATGCGCGAACGCTGAGCAGAATATCTCGAGCTAATTTCTCGAGGTCTGATGAGGACGCGATTTGTAACTTCGGGCTTATTTCCCAAATCAGAAATAGCGGGCTATTTGGCAATCTCGAGCTGATAAAGACATATCTTTCTCTCTTTCTCTCTTTCTCTCTTTCTCTCTTTTTCTCTTTCTCTCTCTTCTTGACGGTCTATCTATACACATTCTGTCATTATACAACGGGGATTGTTCCCATGGGTTAAGAGATATACCTTCGGTCGGATGTCAGTTATTATACGTTAACCCACAAGATCATTCCCCAATGACATCATCACCCATGTGACTCCACTCAAAACCATGTGACTCTTCTTTCTATGTCTCAACGGTGCCATGAAAATTACTTGAGAAAGATCCAAGAATAGTTGAATCGTGCATAAGAAAAACCAAAATGACATGCAAATTCAGCAAGGTTCAAGTTAAAGATTATCGTTTCGTGTGTTACGAGAGAAAGTGGCATCTTTGCAATTCTTTCTTTTTGAAAGAAACAATCGGAAATTAAATCTACTCTACTCTTTTCTATTCTGTTCCATTCTATTCTATTCTATTTTGTTATATTCTATTCTATTATATCCTTTTTTGTTCTATTCTTCTCCATTCTATTACATTTTGTTATATTCTATTATATTCTATTCAAATATATTCTGTACAGAACATCACATCAGTTTACAATAAAGAGAAGATAATTAATTATATTCTATTCTATTTTGTTCTTTTCTATTCTATTCTATTCGGATCGTGGATGACAGGCTACGGGGTTCGAATCCATTGCGTTGCTAAAGCATTGATAGTACTCCAAGTCACCTATATCCAATAGACAAGTGAGATAATGAACACACGAATGAAATATCAATAAATGTATCATAATTCTGTTTTCTACCTTCGACAGAGCATAGTTCTTTCATCATCATGGTGGCTGGGTTGTATTTCTCATAGATCTTCAGTGATCCTACATCAGTGAAGTGAGGCTTCCCTGGCTGAGTGAACGCAACCAAATCGCCACATTCTGCGATGTCTGCAACTGGGCCCTCTGTAGCGATCTGTTTCACTACCTTGGGTTGAACGACGTCGGAAAAGTCGACAATCTGAACAAATTGTCCGCCTGAAAAGAAAAGAAAAATACATATTTGTGATTGTTAGATTGTATGTCATTGCTTTATATGGTCATAAATGGTCTCATTTTGCTCTCATTGCATATTCTTTTGATCAAAGGTTCTACAAAGATAAAAATGAATAATAATAAAAGTAATAATAATTGTTATGATAATAATTGCAACTGCATGGGGTCTATTTCTAAATTGTTCTCAATCTAATCCTCACGATTGTAGTTTTGTTATAAGAATCTAAATTTCAAACTAAATTACATCACAATAAATAATAATTAAGATATTAAAGATGCAAACTATCCTGAACACAGAGATACAATGATTTCTTAGACCTAATTTGCCACTATTATTTTCTTAGAGTTTGAAATAGATTAGAATGCAGATGTCACTTTCTTTCATTGTTCACTTACATAACATATCGAAAATGTTAACTTTAGCCTGTATAACCATGTAGGTTTATAAATATAGGTAAGATACCTTTATCAGAAAAGTGGGATCGGACTTTAATATAACGTTAGTGGTATAAAGTTATGTACATGTGTTCGTTGGACTACTAAATGTGTCACCATCCCTTGGCTTTCTAAGACGTGTTTCCTGCTAAATGCTGGTCACGTGGTCTTATTCTTGGATGCGTCATGAAGATGTTTTCATAAAAATAGATGAGTGGATAAGACGTGATGGGAAGTAAGTAATTATTAATGCCTGTTAATCCACAAACAAAGACAAGAGCTTAATGACTTGCCGTTGAACCCATGGACATGGCGGCCATTTTAGTTGACGTTTTCTAAAACCTCGCGACGATGATTAATGGTACACGCCCTATTCTTCACAAAAAATGCACGTAGTTACACATCAGTTCGTGAAAATTATGGAATGCAATCATAATTAATCATTTCTAAACCTTTACTTTCTATTTAATACCTTATATGAATTATCTAATTATAGGCTTGATATAGGTATTACCACTGGACAAATTGGAATTACATTGCAAGGTGCATAGAAGAAGAACACGATGTTCTAATTATGAAATTTATTGTCTTCGTTGGCTTAAAATAAAAAATCTCTTTGGATTTTGTAGGAATGCGACATCATCACGTTCCTTGCTTCCCGTCATGAAGTTTTCGTTAAGTTTTAAATGTAAGTGTTATGAAGATAATATTTGATTACGAACATTTTAATCCGTTACTGAAAACATGAAGCAATTCTTAAGGCTTTAGGCTACTTATGAGTATCCAGTAGATTGCTTATCTAGGGTTCTATATTGGAATTCATTCGATATATTCTTAACATCGCTATATTTTTGCAATAAAATACGCTGACGTGCGGAAGGAATAGAATTACATACTTAATCTCTACGACTGCAGCAGATCTCTTAATGAATGATGATAAGAAGACTGGATTACAGATTGCGTTGCAAATTGTATGTAGAATAAAGATGATTTCATCATATCCTATTCATATCAACTTCGTTTATATTTAGAACAAAATTTCACGAAAACTATTGCAGTGTTTGAAGTATCACTAAGATATAATTAATTAAGCTAATTATCTCTGTCTGGCTGCACCCTTTCGAAGAGTCAAGTGAATTTGTATTTTGAAAATAAAGAGGCAGCGGATCTACGCCCCCCCCCCCCTCACCCCGCTGAATTTTGAATATACCAACTTTATTGCACAGTCACTTTATATTAGGCATCAAAGTGCCCGGATATCTATGGCACTTTTTATCGTATCATGTGTATTTTGATAACGAAATAGCATATATATATATAACATAATAACAATTGTCTTTGTGTACTCGCTCGCACCCAAAATCTATAAACTGAAAATTTGATATTCGGGCAAGAGAGGAAGGGGGTCGAAAATGTGCATGTACGCATATGGCTGCTAGAATAGGACACCCCCGATTCGCCCCCTACCATGCAAATAGAATTAATAACTTTATTACAATAATATGTTTATCCTGGGTCTGTTTTCCAATCATTATATCAAAATGATATCCATCGATTTATCTTCGCTGACGCATATCCGTTACTTATTATTTATCCGGCCATCCAAATTCCAAAGTGATCACCTCCTATTGTATATAACCCGATGCATGGGGCTAGAGATATTTTTACATCGGGGCAACATTTTTGGTAAAAACCCTCTGCTATTGACTCATAAAAAATGCGTATTGGAAGGTAAAATAATGTAAAAGTAAAAACAGTGAAAATATATAAAAAGTAAAAGCATGAGTGATAAAAATAACTGAGAACGTTAAAACAAAAATTATTGGTTGAAGCTTGGGTGTGATAAGTGGCCATGCATTTTGTCATATCCGAAATAGGATATTTTGGGGCTTAGGTGCAAAATAAAATTACTATTTAGTTAAAAGTGATATTGTTGATTTTTTATTATACATATTATTCTCATGCTGATTTTTTTAAATCCAGTATTGCTAGAAGTCCTAGGTGCATTACAACAGATTCTTACTATTATTTGTAATCCATTACAACAACGAAAAACGCTACTGGAACTGTTTTATTTTCAAATTAAATCAGTTGTCAGAACTATGGGTATAGTCTTTACCGTTTTATCTTTTGTTCACCTACTTGACAACGCCGACAAACAAGAACGAATGAATCATTCTCATCAGGTCTATCTTAAGAAAGACAGGAAATGACTTACATCATTCTACAACATTCTAGAACTTGTTGGCAGACCCCCTCTCCCTCCCCTCACTCCCCGTGAACTGAAATAAATCAACCTGCTTTGTCATGCCTTTTAGGTGACTAGGCTATTTCACAACAGAGTTATTAAAATATTTCTGTTCACAATCTGAGCTAAATCGATTTCATCGGCTGAAATTGAAAGATACATATTTATTCTGTCCGAAAATGTGTAAAACTTGTTTTAATAGCTTAAGTGATATTTAGCATAATTATAGAGAAGGATAATTTCAAAATAATAAGCTAACTGAGGTTCTTTTTATATAAAGGCTGATTGTGGACTGATCAGCTTCAATACATTCAAACGGAGAAAATTATCAAAGCTAGCTTATACCGATTCAAATTCTTAAAATAGAGAAGATATTGGATTATTAGGTGAGAGCTTCAAAAAATGGAAGTTAATGATCAAAGATACCTAAAAATGAACAAAATATATCCGATGATAATTCATCTCAACTTTCTTTAAATGTCCATGTGATTATGGGATTACAAACACAAAGGTTCGTGGTCAAATTGATCTCACCTATAAGTTCAACCCCGCCTTTCCCCTTATTGTCTGCATTACTAAATTCGAGTATAAACATCAAGGAGAAAGGGAAATGAGAACCATTTCCTAAATAGTCTAGGAATGAGTGACCGGGCGGTCTGAAAAAGGTCTCAAAAATGTTTCCTTTTCTTTCTATTTTGACACAAATTTTTTTTTTCGCACATTAATCAGTTCTTAGTCTATTAACAAAGTATCTCTCCGGTCCCAGGAAGGCTGTTTGGTTTGTTAGTTAGTTTTTTTTTTTTTGTGTGTGTGTGTGTGTGTGTACATTTTGTTTGTATTTTGTTAGGCCGGTAGATATTCTTCTTCTTTTTGGGGCAGATTTGTCAACTACCTCTCAAGAATTCTTAGGTAGAATCCTCATTACTCCAAGATAATGTAATCTGTATTTCCAAAATATCGCAGTGAGGCGAATTCACTTTAAACTTTAGCTATAAGTAAAGGTCATAACCACACAAAAAAAGATTAGATATTGAAGTAATTTCTGGTGAATAAAATTGCGAGCGACATAAGGTGTGATGGCTTAGTGGTATAGCAGTGATCTCGAAACCGGGAGGTCCCGGGTGCGTAACAAATTCGACGTGCTAGTGCAATTTGGTAAGGCATTAATCCTCATACAAGTCTCTCGGAGGAGATTTAAAGCCATCGGTCCACCGTTTTTTTTTAATTTACAAGCATACGCATACTTTCTCACCAGTCAGGGTAAAACAAACGTCAAACCAAACGGCTTGAAACAAAATACATTATTCGTTTAAAATACACACCGCATCAAGAAAAAAAGGTTTTTATTCTTACCTCCCACGTATGCCAATTGTTTGTCCATGTCATAAGCTGATTTGAAAGCGACGCCATTGTTCAGGGCATACATGCCGCCGGTCTGTCCTCTTCCACCACCTCCTCGACCTCCAGCTCCACCACCCCCTCCACCGCCTCCTCCGGCACCACCTGCCCCACCTGCCCCACCTGCCCCACCTCCGACTGGCAACTTGTCAAAAGGTAGATAAAGTCTGGAGACGAGTTTCAGTGAAATCGTTGCCTCTGTTGAGCCAAGGGCCAAACAGAGGACCAAAAGTGGTACTCCGAACTGCATTTTGTCAAACTAGAGACCGTAAAAATAAATTCTCCCAAATATTGTGGGAATCAAAAAAGTACTCCCAAAGAGCTGTGGAACTCCGCTCTTCTTGCTTTGTCCAAAGGTACTCTTTCCACCAGAATGAGCGTTGCTCTGCAGCTACCGGCAGAGTTTTCGTCGCGTGCGCTTCAAGCGAAAACTTTTCAACTTCTGGTAAAAGAAAAAAGAGCGGATCCTCTTTAATAGGTCTAGCCTTGTCTCGCACAGATCGAGTCGGTGCCTCGTTCACAACAGCCGAATGTAGAGGTGAGAATAAATGGTCTCCCGGGTAATGGATAGAAGAAATATGGTATAAACAGGAACTAGCAAAGCAGAGCTTGAAGGGGGTAAAGAATAGTCGCGAAATACAGACCAAAGTTATGGAACCATCTAAGACAAGATATATGGAGGGGCATCGCTAAAATGTCATGACACCTCCATTTTAGTCCTCGAAAGATAATTGATCTTTATTAAAGAAATTGTAGATATTAGAAAACCTTTACACTTATCACACAATATTAAAATTTAGAGGTCTCTTATAACCTGAAGTTTTGTTTTTTTTTTTTTTTTTTTTTTGGGGGGGGGTAGATTTGTTTGATGTTTTTGAACGGCTTAACTGTTTCTGGTTGTCGGAACATTTTTACAGACTAGCTATAATCCCTTTTTTAATCATTATCTACATTAGTTGTCACAAATTTCTTTTTGTTTAAAGTAAGGCTTGCATTTCCATAAGTTTATTAAAAGAATTCGTTTTTACTGGCTGCCTGCCGTAGCAAGAAGCAGAATTGACAAAAAAATTAAATCTGTTTCGTTTACAATCAGCCATGCATGAAGTTTTTCTTCTTGGCTGATCATCAACGACACGGAGTTAAAGGACCGCTCTAACCCAACTAACATAGCCTTTTAAAACATGAATACACCTCTACTTATTAATATTCCAGCCTCTGATTTTTCAGAACATCTCTAAATTGACTAAAAAATGATAATAACCATCCACTTTTCACATATCTCACGCTTGCTGGGCTACGCCCCTCGAAAAAAAGGTAATACGGTCACGTGGCTTGATGACACATTTGACGTCATTGCGGGAATGTCCGATCTGTAAGGACCTTACATTCTGATTGTAATTCATAATTAGGAATGACGAAATTGCCAGAAACGTACTGGGATTATCAAGTGCATATTATTTTTCGCATAAACTTAATGTCTTTTTTATCCTCAATTAATATCATAGTTTGCCTTTTTAAAGATATTTTAATGCCTAAATCACCCTCCTTTTCACCGGAGAGGCTCCTGCAGTGACGTCATATACTATTGCGCAATACAGCTCCGAAAATGTGTTTTTTCTTGGCGTTCTGAGTCGTCATTTTTAAAGCTAGATTCCAGAATTACTGATGATGTCTTTTTTTCTCCATTTTTAGCCCATTTTGGTTAGAGTGGCCCTTTAAGTCTTTTGTCAATTTTGTTTTTTGCTACGGCAACAAGCAGCCAGTGAAAAAAGAATTCGTTTAATAAAATTATGGAAATGCAAGCCTTACTCTAAACAAACAGAACTTTGTTATTCCTTGTATATTTTTCCTTATTGAGGGGTCATAATTATGAAAGGGCAGAAACTGGACTTTGTAGAAATGTGATTTTCTCTTTGAAATTCAGATACCGTCCGCCAAATAACTTTTTGCTTCCCTCTCTTCAAATTTATTTTAATCGCTCATGCATGAAATATGCATCATATGAGTTGCATCAAATAAAAGAAGAGGATTTAAGCTTTACAAATATGTGTCATTTATTAATTATAATTATGATTAAGTTATGATAAAACATCGATAATTCTCGGTTTCGTTTTTTCTGGGACACACTGTATATTTAAAATAATCCAAAATTGTGAAAGCGGATTTAATGATTTTAATTTGATTTGATTTGATTTAATTTGTATTCTTTATCGTAGGACAGTTTATGATTGATGTAAGCATATGAAGTTACCCCTCTTCCCCCCCCCCCCCCCCTCATCGCGCCTAAATAATGATGACAAAATATGTTGCAATGTCTAGTTCTAGTGACCAGATAGTTCTTGGTGTGTGGGCGGGCATGTACTATTGGGTGTGACGAGTGTTCATTTCCGGAATACAGATTTACAATAATGATGGGGGGAAACATGTTGCTCATCTAAAACTTCATTATTTGTATGCATCCTACCGATTGAAATGAATGCATCTCTCTCTTTCTCTATCTGTCTATCTATCTCTCCATCTTCCCCTCTCTCTCTCTCTCTCTCTCTCTCTCTTTCTCTTTTTTTTCTCTCTCTCTCTTTTCTCTCTCTCTCTCTCTCTTTCTCTCTCTCTCTCTCTCTCTCTCTCTCTCTCCCCTCCCTCTTCCCCTCTTTCTCTCCTCTTTCTTAACATATCCTAAAGTCTTTGTCTTCTCTCATCGGAAATTTGAAAATCAACCTGTATGAGGCTGAATACCGGTCATCCTAGTAGATCGGCAGCCCAAGAGACCGACAGCTCAAAGAGTCAAAACAAAGATATATTATCATATATATATATATATTTTCATGAAGTTCATAGTGATAATATGGTTTAAACTTGATATATTATCAGAACGTTATAAATAAATTGTCATGGCTCTTTAGAGTGATCTATAAAAATTTGAGCAGATATAAACTTTAGATCTATGTAAGTATAGATATAAACCATATTGTCACAATTACAAAGACTGAAGTTTTAAAAAATACAATGATTCCAACTTAATGGGCAACCGTGTGCTTTCTACTTTCCTGATTACAGAAAAAAAAACTAATGAATAATTTAACCGATGAGAGCATTTGCACCCCCTTTTTCCATAACCACCCATCTTTTTTAATAATTTCATAGACAAAATTTAAGTTCAAAATACAATAAAATGCAAGATAGTAATAATAACTTCACTAAGGCATAGAAAGCCAAGGGGGTGGTCTGATGCACTTTCTTGTTATAGAAAATAGTCTGTAAAATGCAAGACTACGTAAGAAGAGAAGCGACGATTGGAGACAGAGAGCAATAGGACTCAGGATATGCAGAATAATCCTAAGCAGGATGGTAATTAAAAGCTTTTTAATGACAGAATACTCGGCCCCTCCTGTGTGTCACCTTTACTGCGCATGCCCGTGTCTCATGACGATGTGTCTTGTATAGCCTTCCGTTAAGATTTAGGTTGGTGTAAAAATCAAAGGGTTTATGTACTACACAAATTAACTGAAATGCTTTTGTAAATAATATTGACAAGTTTCGAGTCAAATATGTACTTTTTAGAACGCTAAAATTCGACTCTCTTTCTTTTCTTTGTTATCTATGAAAAATAGCAAATGGTAGTATTAAAAATAATTAACATCTCCTGTTAAGTAGAATATACTGTTTTCGTGTTTAGTTTTTTCTTTATTTCTGTTCTTGCTATATTGCTGTCTACAATATGTTATCACCACATCACCCCCTTTCCCAGACACCGAAGGTTTTTATTTAGGAATACCCTTAAACGCACATATCAAAACAAATTATGAGAACAAAGAATCTGAAAGAGTTGTATTTTAACATATGACATAACTAACAAATTCTGTATTATCCATTAATAACAAGGTCATGATGGTTGGGATTTGATAACATCATAAATTCAATTTCTTCTGCGGTGAAATAATACGCTATCATCTATGTCATGACTGTACAAATCTAACAAATCCTTCTTTTAAACGTCAAATGAATTCAATCCATGTAGTAATTCTTTTCTGGAAATAATTCATATGATTTCAGACAAGATTGTATTAGACTGTTGAAAGGTGTGCTTTTGGGACTGGAATTGGATTTAGCCTGTAAAGTGAACTTATTTGGCCTGGCAAGGAAGACGGGGTCAAACGCAATGTCAACAGTGAAACTGAGTTTTCCTGAGTTTCTTTTGGTATGACTAAAAAAGGCAAGAATAAAATATCGTGTGGGATTGAAAGACACACTAAAGCTTCTTTTTCGATTTTCTCGTATTGCACGTAGGTCGCGGGAGAGAATAATGAAATCATATGCAATCTTTTTAATGCTGCTCTCATATTTCACAAGAAAAGGCAAACTTTGTCCAGTATTCAGGCCTACAATCAAGAAAAGTAAATTTACAATTTATTTTATGAAAGATAATCATTTAACGCGGTACTCTGACAAATGTGTTATTGGATTTTTAACTCAAGGCTTTCTTGAATTTGTATTTTTGATAAGTATAATGTTTTTTTTATTTTATTTTTATTTGTTTAAATAAATGTAATATGTTATAAGTATAATGTTGTTGTTGATGTTGCTGCTGCTGCTTTTGTTGTTGACGTTTTTTGTTATTGTTCCTGTTGTTATTGGCGTTGTAGCAGCTGGGACAGATCATGATGTTATTGTACATTAATTGACGACAATTCATTAGTGACGTAAGCTAAAATGACGTATAGGGAACGAGGGAATACGTAATAGATTGGACGAGGGACAAAGGCTTGGCTTGCAAAGGATATCATCTATATATGACTTCACACCTTTGATCGGGGAAGTATCATTATAAAAAGTTAGCACGGGAAGCATTGACCCTTCTTAAACTTGAGAGGACGTGCGCTAATCATTAAACTTTTAAGAGAAATGCATGGTGAGCCATTACAAATTCAAGCTAGGCTATGTTTCATGTTGTGGTGTTTGAATGTTTACTGTCCATGTACGTTCGGCCTCCTCTTCTGGAGGACCCCCCCCCCCCCCCCCCCCTCCTACTATTTATCAATATCTGGGCCCCGTCTTATAAAGAGTTGATATTAATCGCAACTTATTTGCGATTTATATTAATTGCGACTATAAGAGATAGGAGATTGAAAACTTGCGATTGATTGGAGGACTTGCGACTGATTTGGATCAATCGCAACTCTTTTTAAGACGGAGCCCTGGATACGCCAGCTAACTTTTCGGATGTCTGAATAATCAACATTAGTTTGAATTACTTTTACGGCTATGCATCGTTAAGGGATCGCCATGTATAGATCAGAGCAAAATCTATGTATTTTAATGCCACGGATATTACTGAAGGCTTGCAACTTCGGGAGCTGCTAATATGTCAGATTCATCGCCACGTAATTCTTTATAGTATACAGATCCATGACAAGGCAATATGGACATAATCAGTGATCAAGGCAGCTTTGAACCCTATATGTGTCATTTTACCAGTCAATAAGTCAGTCAAAAAATGTATAAAGTATGAAAAATTCACATCATCGACTCTATCATTGCCTCATTAAAGGAGATTTAGCACTTACGATTAGAAGAACTTACAGATTCATGAAAGAGTAAATCAATCCCCATGTCATTACATACCCCCCCCCCCCAATGATAATACATCGGGTTGAATCTGAAGTTTGGAGAGTGCCAAATAATCCATATGATATCTTACTGTTTATTCCAGACACGAATCAACGCAGTTAGATTGATAGAGGAAAGACTTCAATTTCGCAAAGCAAAACTAAAATGGACTTTGGCAAAGGATTGGATGGAAAGTTGTATATATATTATTTACATCTGTTTTTTCCTTTTATTTTCAAAGACGCATAAGCATAAAAATAGACTGGGCATTCGAACAATTACAAAAATACACTTTTCCATAAGCCTATAATTACTGTTGTTACACTGCATATTGCAAGTTCTTCCATCTGTGTCTCTGACTTACTTCAAGTAGGGCAGTATATAGAGCGATACGTGATCTTTAAAAATAAAATGTTCTTAATTAAGAGCAGGCCTCAGCCCTGTTTTATCACAGAAGCAAGGCTGAGAGAGACAGGGTACTTTAAGAATTGGTCAACAACTGCACCCATCATAGCTATTATCTGGGAAATTGGTAATTAGAAGTTAGTACATATCACCCTCACGTGAGCAAGCTGTGGAGGACTTGAAGAGTTGAGCTTGGTTACAGGAAAAAATACAGAAACGGAGAGGAAGTCAGGAGTAGAGAGAGTCAGAGAGATATACAAAGAATAGAGAAAGAGTGCGTGTGAGATAAAGAGAGGAAGAGAGAGAGAGAGAGAGAGAGAGAGAGAGAGAAGGGGGAAGAGAAAGAGAGAGAGAGAGAGAGAGAGAGAGAGCGGGTGAGAGAGATATTTGGGGAAAGGAGGGAGGGAAGAAGGGAAGGGATACTAAAGGAGAAAGAGAGAGAGGGGGCCTGACAATCTTAAGACAGATGTAAAAAACACGAGACATAAATAGTGAAAAATATGTAATTGGAAAGAAATTGGAGATATATCTTTGAAGCATAATACAGGGAAATTATTAAGAGTGACAGAGGAGAATAGTAGGGGTGTCTTTTTTTTACACGTGTATAGAATGAAAAGAGCAAATAAAGGAAATGGTTGTAGGAAAGATACTGGGGGAATGTTAAAGTGAGAAGACGAAAAAGAGAAATGGAGGGACGAAGAAATTGGAAAGAAAATACAGAGAAAGAAAAGGAAAGAGGAAAGTAAAAAAAAAAAAAAAAAAAAAGAGAACGAAAGTGAGGGAGAGGGAGAAAATATAGGAGAAAACAACGTAAACGGAGAGCGTATAGATAGATACATCAACAGTTCAAACTTCTGATGCTTATCAAATGCATTACAGTTGGTTTATTTTGATTGCAAACTGCATGTTACCACTTTGACCAAATTGTGGGCTTGATTGGATTGTTTAGGGCGGGTCCGACTCGTAAGGTAGGCCAACCAGAGACATCTGTGCCAGCTAAGGACTATACTTGTAGGTAGGGCCTAGTGCAGTGCCATCACTGAAGCATGCATGGGGTTATCTTTAGAGCATGTTTGTGTGGAAAATATAAGCCGATAGGAGTAATTCCCAACGGCAATTTGCAACCTATCCTCATGTTATTCTGAAATTGAGAATGTTACATATGTGCGGTGATAACGAGGCGGTATTTAGAAGGAATTACGCTCGAGTCGCATGCTACTTAGCACTATGATTCATACCCGGCTCAGTGTTAGGGAGCTTATGCGTCACCAAGAAGGGGTCACACAGGGGCTCGGATGGATGACGGGAGGGGGCGGGGAGTGAGGGGGAGGGGTACACCGCAATTTCTGTCAGCAAATTGATGGTTGTTGGCATTCTTTATCGTCATCGGTGAAAATATTCAGGGTGATTCAGGGAGTCTTGAGGGCGAGATCTTCTAGCCCCTTGTTCTATCATATAAGATAGACAATCGATGCTGTGATAAATGTCAATTAATATTTATTAAGATAATTATGTCCGACACGAGGTGCTCTCTATCTCTCTTCTTCCTCCACCTTCTCTCTCTCTCTCTCTTTCTCCCCCTTTTCTCTTTCTTTCTCCCCTTCTCTCTCTCTCTCTCTCTCTCTCTGTCTACCCTCTTCTCTCTCTGTGTCACCTTTTTCTCTTCTTGTTGTCCACTGCTCCATATACCATAAACAAGGTTCCCACAGGAATTTTAGGACCAAATTCCATGACTTTCCATGACCAAATAAGTATCAGCACTCCTCAATCCTCCCTCTCTCTCTCTCACATGGTGCAACCGCAAGCCTACTATATATCTACATCACCATGCAAGCGGATACTTACAAGCGAGCATTTAAGTATCAGCTTGTCGGCATCCAAGTAGCATACAAATGCCACGCCCATTGTCAGTTCAGATTGGAAGGCTGCCATAGCCACACATGGCCCACAGTCCCACACCTGCAACTAACTTTGATGACTTTCCATGACTTTGAAGATTTTTTTCTTCATTTTCCATGACTTTCCAGAGGAACATATTTTTTCCATGACTTCCCTGGTTTTCCCATGACCGCTGGAACAATGCATACATGTTAAATGCACATAAATAACAGACAACTACGCAAATTAAAGCAATTGATACACAGATTCTGTAATTTTTACCATTTTATTACTGCACACCTAATAAACACCAAACAGTTATTAAATAACTTCATCATCCTCTAAGAGTATGGTTCAAATATTTCTTCAAATATTTCTTCATATATCTCTTCATTTGCGTACAAAGGGAAAATAGAATTGCCTTTACGATTGAAATGGTATATATCTTTTGTGATGGATATTAGTGCGGTGATAATAGATAAAATGTCTCTATTCAAATATATCTTAACTGTGCACAAGGGTAAAATACATTTACGACAATACAATGTAGGTGGAGATCTGGCTGATTAACTTAAAGTTATCAATACGATGGAAGCTTCACTGTTCACAACAGATTTTAATCTTTTTTCAAAAAGAGTACTATTATACGTAAACTATTAGTTATACATAGACTATAATTGATTGCAAAACTATCATTGGTATTTCAAATATAACTCCCAGTTACTGTTCAATACTATAAAATATAATTTACCATAATATTTATTTTTTTCCCCATTATTTTGACCATCTGATAACAAGTTCCTTTTCATACGAGTTGAAGCCTGAAGTGTGCATATGAAATGAAGATACAAGGAACAAGCAAATGAATTAGTTAGGAGCACTGTATTTGAGACACTTCTAATCATACAGCCTTAGATTTTTTTCCAGAGCGATTCACCCACTAAAAGAAAAAATTAGCACTACACCATTGATCCCATAGAGCAATGAAGCAACACTTGTAAGCAAAAGTGTAACAATTATGAATAAAATAAGAGCTTTGAAATTTGTTCATTTTGTGAGCCATGAGGGATTGTGAGTGCCAGTCCACTTCTTTCAAATATTCCATATTTGGAGGCAGTGTTTGGAAAAGAAAAGAAAAATCAGTTCACAGCACACAGCAAGTACTAACCAGTCAATTCGTTTTGGTTTCTAGGTTACTGATCATCGTACTAAATATAAAGCCTCTAGATTCAATTCCACTTTGCACTGATATGCAATATATAGCATCCCTGTTAATGGATAGTACAATAATCATGGTAGACTGTTCTCATTTGGAAACGGAGAAGACTAAATTGTAGATCACTCATTTTTCAAATTGTAAGTGATACAATGAAAACTCACAGAATAATGATGGTGATGGTACACAATGACACAAATGTTATATCAAGGTAATGTATGGAGTGTTTTCTTGACCGTTTATTGCTCAAAGAGGGCACCATCCAAAATCATTGTTCAACATGTCACATCGCCTCACAGGAGCTAAGCTCAGTGAACGGCTGGCATAAAGTAGGTGTTAGAGGGAGACATTTTGAACATCTAGGGTACATAGGATATGACAGAGTTGGCTAACATACATATTGGTTATAGATTCCAGTACTTCCAGTTTAAGAGAATATCAATAACATGCAGTGAACAACAACTATCAGCCACGTCTTCCAAGAGCATATTCTCAAACAGAGGAAAATAATCAGACCATCACAAATACCTGCATACCTTTCTTGGGAGGTTATTAAACTATGGCTATTCATACTTGTGTTACAAAAGGTATTAAAAAGCGTGATATTCTAGTTCCATCGGCCAATGAGTTAGACATCTTTACTTGATGAGATTGATAGCATGGCGGAACTTCTTGCCAGCGAAGATTGCTTTGTTTCCTAGCTCTTCCTCGATCCTGTAGGCATACAAGAATACAAGAATGCAATTAAATAGAGTGGAAACTACAGTCAGATCGGTCTTGGTGGCCACCTCTCTATAAAAGGCCACCTGTCTACAGTGGTCACATTTTCTCTTACCCTTGGGTGGCCTTTATAGACAGGTTATACTGTATATTTCATGAGATCATGATTGACACCAGCAACAAAACCTCTTTTCATGAGAGATAGACAATAAGGTGCTAAGATTGGACTCTTCAATTTAAATTTAGTAAAAGAAATGGGCATCCTAAAATTTGGGCATGATGAGTTACGAATTGAGAAGGCATATTAACATGACCTTACTGATGTAAAATCTGTAAATCTAAAATGTAAAATTCTCTCATTACTATTAATATGAGACACCCAATTCCCATGGGCAATGAGCCTATCTACATTTACCACTATCCACCTAGGTGTAAAATTGTAAATGGGTACCTGATATTCTTGAGTGCTAGTAACTTTTGCCACCTATCAATGACAGGGGTAATAATGTCATCAAGCCCTGAGGATCATGCTCAGCATGATGGATACAAGTGCTATGTGAGAAGCCATCATCATATCAAGTAGTTACCTGAGGATCTGGTTGTATTTAGCAAGCCTCTCTGATCGGCATGGAGCTCCAGTCTTGATCTGTCCAGTGCACAGACCAACCACCAAGTCAGCAATGAATGTGTCTTCGGTCTCACCGCTACGATGGCTTACCATCACACCCCATCCACTGCTCTGGGCAAGCTTACACCTAAACATAACAAGTGAGATTTCGATAAAGATCATTTTTTTGAAGGTGATTTATAACCTGTATTTTCATGAATGATAATTTGTTCTTCTTCTTTTTTTTTTTAATATAGTGTTAGGCTCCTGATTAGTGTGTACAGATAAGAAAAAGTAAAGAATATCTGTATGTAAATAGACATTTCTGAATAAACACCTCAACAACTTCATTCGAAAATCCTCATATCCCCAAACCCTCTTGCATAAGAATATATACTGTTATTTTGTCTCTTTTTTATCTTTGTATTAATCTTCTGTCACCAGTCAGCAAAAAGAACTACAATTATAATGTTATATTTTCATCTATACATGCAAATCAGGAAAATACAATATGTTAGCAAATGTGTTTAACTTTCTCCATTCAACATACAGGGTTGTCAGGAAGGAGTCAGAGGCAACATTTTTGCTTTTAATCCTCCCAATGTAAATCGAACAAGCTCTCATATGACTCACTGACTCAGTGTGAGGGTGTGAAGGTGTCTGTGTGTGGAGGGGGGGGGGGGGTACCCCTTTGGACCCCCTCCCCTGGCTGCACATACTACACTTTGTCTGAACCTTTGTAAGACAGGTAAATCTTGACTTACGCCTCAATGGACTCTGTGACAGATCCAATCTGGTTGACCTTGAGAAGCAGGCAGTTACAGGCCTTCACATCGACGGCCCGTTTGATACGCTTGGGGTTGGTAACAGTCAAATCATCACCGACGATCTGGATATCAGTAGAACCGCAGAACTTGGTCCAGGCTGCCCAGTCATCTTGGTCAAAGCAATCCTCAATCGACACAACTACAGTTGGCAGCAGACAAGATTGAAACAATCAAAAAGGTTATTATTGACAACATCAATTTTTATCTGAAACGTTCTGTGTCATCACTTTTATCTGCTTTTATCGCTAGTGCCGCCTTTCTCTCTCTCTACTTTTTTGTAACCTTAGATGACACAGGTTTTTAATGTTTTTAATATTTGAAATATATTTAGATTTTGACGTAATATTTGTAATATATTTAGATTTTGATGTAATATTTGATTTTCATTTTGTTTCATTATGCATGATTTATGGTCGTACGTTTTAGTCATTCATATTTTGATCGTTCATTGTGTTGTACATTGACTTTGTAAATTGAATAATTTTAGCTTCCCAGCTGCATGTCAATCAAATAAATCCACCGAACAAGACTACAACTGTTTCTATCATAGCTGTTGTCACAGGAAATTCATTGCCGTGCAACGATCAAAAGATGAAGAAGAACCAGCTAAACGTCAATCAGACGCTGCAGCGTTCTCCTCAAGTCGGACCAACAAGGTTTTCTGAAAGGAACCAGCATATTCTGTGGCAAGGGCCAAAAAAAGAAGCATCGACGAGAAGAACCAAGGTTGAAGATTGCAACAGTTGGTAGTTGTGAGACAATATCTAAGCTGGTTTTATATTTAAACAACAAACGCATCAAAACTCTCATTCAGAGCGGTGTTGATCTCATCGCAATGGAGGCAGAATATCATAGGTCTTGCCGGATTTCGTTCCTCAAAGAGACTGAGGATCATTGTCCCTCTGAAGATGGTTCACATGTTTATCTCACAAGAAGGTCTTTGCATCTACAATTTCTCACATCCAAGATGAAGTGATTGAGAAGAAACATACTGTGATGGTGAGTAGTTTACTCGAAATGTAAAAAAAGGAATTCACAGTTATCGCTGAGACAAATATTCCCTCCTACACAGGCCAAAATATGAAGGGGAAAATTAAAGATCATTTCAAAGACAACATCAAGATGGCTCTGGCAGACCAAGGGAGAGGAAATTTCATGTACTGTTCAGTCTTCACTGAAGAAGAAGCAAGAGCCCGTCTCAAGGAAGATTCCATAAGATACGAAGAGGATAGGAAATTGAGGTGGGCTGCCCTTCATCTCAGATCTGAAATCTTGAAGGTTCCAAAGAGGAATACACCTAACCCTGTCCAGTCCCAAACTTGAACGAGTGGGCTGCAAAGATTTTTTAGAACTCTCATTGTGGTATGGGATCGAGTTGCAGAGCACGAAAAGAATCAGTTGAGCACAAGGTAAATGCCATGTCATCTGATGTGATATACAATGTGACACAAGGTTCCACAAGACCTTGGAAAAACACAGTGCTTGGTCTAGGATTGGCATCACTGACTCCTACATGTAGGATCCAAGATGGCCCTGCAGGTTTGAACGGATCAGGACACTGTATAAGTTGTAGTGAAACCAAAGGAATTGAGAGTGAATTTGCCTATTCCGTTGCAGATGACCAAAGGAATTGAGAATGAATTCGCCTATTCCGTTGCAGATGACCAAAGGAATTGAGAATGAATTTGCCTATTCCGTTGCAGATGACCAAAGGAATTGAGAGTGAATTTGCCTATTCCGTTGCAGATGACCAACATCTTGAAGCCGTTCAGCGGCGTTTCACCCGTTTCTGTTTTTCACACAAAGATGCAAACAATCTAACATATGAAGAGCGCACGTTGATCTTGAACATGTCACCGTTGTGTAACAGATTAATTTACTTGTCAGCCTCTTTTATAATAAAATGTTCGTTTTGTCTGTATGATATCCCTCAACATATAATACCCGTACAAAGAAAAAGAAATCTAGACATATTGTTATTTGTACTTGAATTTGCCTGATGCAATGCTTTGAAGTTCATTATTTTTCACAGCTTTGCCCGTCTTTGGGAACACATCCCCCAGTCTGACAAGGACCTTTGCTTAGAAACGAATGTAAAGCTAATTCTCAAGGCTCTTCGTGAGTTATTTTGCGCCACGTCACCAATTGATGATGCCTTTAAACAAGATTGACACCCCGAGTGTTTTTTTTTTTTTTTTTCTTACGACCTGAACAACACATGATTATATTATATTTATGATCTCATGATCTATCTTTTTTCGTATTTAATTATATATATCTTATGTCGTTTATGTATATTGTGTAAAGTTAAGTATTATACCATCAACTAATGTGGAGAGCCTCCTACAGAAACTCAAGTTTCTTTTGGTAATGGTGAGGCATTAGTTGATGGCTTTTTTCCTGTTATTGTATTTATTATTGTAATTCGTTTTCTTGTGTTCTTTGTTATTGTTATACTCCTTTATGTTCCTGGAAACAAAATCAAATAAATGATGCTCCAGATGGCATTGCCCTTCTATAGGGATGGTTATCGTCAACCGATACCGATATGCACGTGATCATGATCGTGATCTGGAGTTGTAGAAATGGACAGTTGTCTGTGATATTCTTATCGTTGTTTCGGAGGCCGTTGTAGCCTGATTAAAGGTGTTTTAATCTCCAATTCCTGTCTGATCTCTGGTCATACCTGTTTGTACATAGTGAATCCCTACACTTCAACCAAACTTGGCTACAGCTAGCGTCTGGGACGACGATGCACATGTGGAGACACTCAATGGAAAGTAAATATTCCATGCAACTGTTGGTCACACATACCAGAACGTGGTAGAAGATGACCAGCATGTCGTTATCAATGAACCAGAATTCCGAGAGGGAAAGAACCAACGTATATTTGTTGGGAAGGATGGAGAGATACCAAACTTCAGGGTGTCTCTCAAGAAGGCCAAATTTGTCAGCACTGATGCGGCACCAGGAAGCATCAGAGCAGTTCACTCGACATCCAAGTCATGCCATGTCTCTGATGGAACTCAAAGTTCAGTGCCAGAGTTCATAGCAGGCACTGATGGATCACTATCAGCATATAAGGACCACCTCCTTTCTGGCTGCTACCAGCCTTAGCAAATATCCTTTGTATTATTCATGTTTGTAAATTGATTTTGTGTATTTCTGTGTTTATCTATGTTATACCCCATTCACAGTGGTTTTGAAATTTGTAGCGGCGTTGTAGCGGAGCGGCGACACCGCCATAACACCGCTACAAATGCATTCACAGTAGAAAAGTTATCCCGCTGCAGCAGCGGGATAAATATCATGTACCCATTCACGCTGCAGCGGGTGATTTTTATTACCTCCGTAACAAACACGTGTATGCATGGCTCATGACCCGCGAGTGACCCCGATATGACCGGAAATACTTCAGCGCGGGGTTTTCGATTGCTTGAAATTGCGCGCGCTAGCTGTACTTTACACACTCTTCCTCATGTAGCTAGCTCAATTTAGCTATGGATCTATCTATACTTTTACGTATTGCTGTCGCTTTCATTCTACTGGAATTGCAGAGAACGAATCGCAATATTTTAGTTCACTATGCTCGAGTGCAGCATTCGTTTCGTGATGAAATGGAAAGAAGGGAAAGGAGGAGAAGAAGAAGGCATCTTCGCAGACGACTGCTGTTTGAGATGGAACAACAAGCAGTTGTGAACACGTACTAGCAAAACTAGCATTTTTATTGCTTCCAGTCAGAATATTTTAATTTTTTGAAGTGTGAAATATTTTTATTTGGATAATTATAATATCTACATAATAATAAAATCAATTTGAATCCACTGGTTACTTTATTTCTATTTCACTGTATGTTCCCCATTGCTGGAGAAAAGAGGTCAGTGATAGGTAAGTAAACAAATCACACGTGTTTGTCGCGGTGTTATAGCGGAGAGCCTTCACACTGAGTAAACACCGCGACAGCAGCGGGACTGTCCCGCTGCTGTAGCTAGGCGAACCTAGCGATAGTTTGTCGCGGCGTTATCGCGAGGCGGTGTTATCCCGCGATAGTTTATAACGGGTCCGAGCCTTCACACTGAAGACAACACCGCGACAGCAGCGGGACAGTCCCGCTGCTGTCGCGGTGTTTGAGGCCACTGTGAATGGGGTATTAGTAATTGTAATTGTGTGAAACTTTGTATACTGCTCTTGTTTTACTCTGTATGTTTTTTATTGCTTGGCAAACCAAATTGAATTGAATTGAATTGAACTATCTACTGAGTCTCAGGACATCAGGGCATTGGAATCGGGATTGGGATCTACCCAAGCATCCAATGAAGATTTAAGCATGGCATCTCATTTGAAAGCAGCCTCTTCTGGAAAAATCGAGATCAGTATCTGAAATTGTATTATTCTAGCGATTCCCGGTATAACCAGCTGGCATAAGCCTAATTTACTGTTACTTTAGACAGCCAATCAGCGCTCGTTATATTCGCGCCTTGTTCCTTTTAGTTTCCGTTTATATTGATCGATTTTGGCTTTCTGTTTTATTCTTGCGTTTTACTCTGATGAGTGCAAGTCGAAAAGCTTTAGTTATGGCTCTTTTCAACGCTATTCTCCAAACGAGTATCAGTATCAGTTGGCAGCAGACAAGATAGAAACAATCAAAAAGGTTATTATGGAGCACTGAACAGATACACACGAGCAGTGAGAAATTTTGCTCTGGAAAGATCCAAAAGAGCTCTGTAAATACCGAGGGGAGTAAAAGCTCTGAATAAAATCAAGACGCCAGGTGTATGGACACTTTGACCAGCTATTGACCGACCTGCATAAGGAGGATGCAAAGGGCTACAAAAACTACTTGAGAATTCCACCTGACCTGTTTGAAGAGATGGTTTAAAACCTGACCCCTCATCTCAAGAAACATACCACATACATGAGAAAACCACTAAAAGTTGGACTCAAATTGGCTGCTACTCTCTGATATTTAGCCATTGGAAATTCATATGCTAGCTTACAATACAGCTTTCGAGTTGACAAGAGCACATTCTCGAAGTTTGTACCGGAAGGATGCGCTGCAATAACTGAAGTCTACAAGGGTGAGAAGCTCAGTTGTCCAAAGACAGGAGATCAATGGAAGGTTGTGGCTCAAAAGTTCAGCAGCAGATGGAACTACCACAATTGCATGGGAGCTGTTGATGGCAAGCACGTTGCCATTAAAAAGCCACCAAAATCAGGATCTTTGTTTTATAACTACAAAGGATTCCACAGCATTGTACTAATGACAGCTGCTAGATCCTGCTAGCTGATATCGGGACACCGGTTTTCGATCGGTGCAAGGCCATTGGGACCCGGTTTATAAAAGTCCCGACATGACTCAGGCTAAACTGTGGCAGTTAAAAAGGCTGTAGCATGGGAAATACTGGTTGACGCGATCTACGTCTTCTTTTGGACAACTGCACGGAAATGAATGGACTTGATTAACAGCTGCACTGAGGCAGAGGTCAGTGATTAACTGGGTCAGCGCGTGCTAGCGTTCGCGAAAGGGCGCGAAACAGACCAAAGTTCTGCTCACGCTTCGGTTTCATGTATGTTGCACACACATGAATACTGCGGTCGCGTCGTCCGTAATGATATAATACCCGAATGGCTCCGAGGGCCACTGGAAAGACACTTAGTCTCGTCAAGCTACAGCCCCTTTAAAAGCTGCGTTTTTTAAAGCATACCACACAGCATATTTTAGTATAAGACCATATGACAAACCGATTAGTGATTACATTAAGGACCTTTCTTGTGTGCAACTACTTTTTCATCCCTAAATGCCATTGATTTAGTGCACACACACCAAAAAACTGCCTCAGTTTACTACAACAATGTGTAAATTTTTAAAAGGTGTGATTATAATTAGGACTACATACCTGGATAATCTTTGATGAAACCCATGTAGATATCACCAAGTTGGTCAGAGGTGATCTGTAAATGGGTGAACAAAACTAATAATAATACAGAAGAAATCTATGTGACCCTCTTCATAAGCTACTCTTGTTTTGTATGTACCCTTTCTTAATTTTGTCTTTGCTAATAAAGAAATGAAGAGGAAGAAAATGAAGAAGGAGGAGGAGAAGGAGGAGGAGGAGGAGGAGAAGAAGAAAAACTAGATGGAACTTCGACTGCGCGCAGTCGAAATGATGCCTCCGTCATAGAGCAATTTACAAACCAAAACAGAAGAAATTTTTCAAATTCAAGTTCAATTGTAATCCATTAACAGGTTCTCAGAATATCGTGATTACAAGCAATTTCTCATATACATATATGACCCTTTGATCTTTGACCTCATGACCCTAACATCTACTCAGTTCATTGGCTCCGCAAGATGTCCCGAGTTAAATAGTAATCCATCTGTCAGTTCTAATGAGAATGCGTTCACAAGCTATTTTTGCATACATAATGAGCCCATGACCTTTGACCTTTGACCTCATGACCCAAGAATCTACTCAGTTCATTGGCTCTGCAAGATACATACATGATCTAAGTTTGGCAGGAATCCATCAATCTGTTCTAATGATAATGCGATCACAAGCTATTTTTGCATACATAATGAGCCGCATGACCTTTGACCTTGACCTCATGACCCCAAAATCTAATCAGTTCATCGGCTCTGCAAGTAACATACATGACCTAAGTTTGGCAGGAATCCATCAATCGGTTCTTGAGATAACGCGATCACAAGCTGTTTTTGCATACATAATGAGCCCTGTGACCTTTGACCTTTGACCTCGTGACCCCAAAATCTAATCAGTTCATCGGCTCTGCAAGATACATACATGACCAAAGTTTGGCAGGAATCCATCAATCGGTTCTTCAGATAACGCGATCACGAGCTGTTTTTGCATACATAATGAGCCCTGTGACCTTTGACCTTTGACCTCGTGACCCCCAAATCTAATCAGTTCATCGGCTCTGCAAGATACATACATGACCAAAGTTTGGCAGGAATCCATCAATCGGTTCTTCAGATAACGCGATCACGAGAACGGGACGTACGGACGGACGGACGTACGGACGTACGGACGTACGGACGTACGGACGGACGGACGGACAACCCGAAAACATAATGCCTCCGGCTACTTCGTAACGGAGGCATAAAAATTACATAAATATGTAACCCTAACCTTTTGATGAAACAACACCTCTGGCAATTATCGCAAGAACGAATATCAGATCACCACTTGTGATATATTGTGAAAAAAAACACCCCATTGATGCACTAAATTAATAAATGACTATAAACCAAGTTCTTACATGGTCGTTGGGGTTGGTCTTGGGGTTCTTGAAATCCAGGTCATATTTGCCATCTCTGTGGAACTCTGAAGCAGCTACATCCATCCCAATCTCAATCTTACCAGAGTAACCGGCCTTCTCAATGGCTTCCATGATCAGGTTCAATGCTGGATATCATACAAGTAGAGAAAAGAAATGTTGTCATTTGGTCCAATTCCCATTACCGGTAGTCCCATTCCCAATGCATAAACAGATCTATTTGGTCCAATTCAATTGGTTCTGTCCCCAATGCACATGTAGAAAAGGAAAGGGAAGTGTCATTTTTAATGTTTAATCACTGAAAATGAATGATACTATCCACACTAAATTGAGAAAAAATATGAAACAACTGAATAACAAGCTACAAAGGCTGGGGTCTGTCTAGACTACTATAAAATCCATTTTCCATTGTGAACATACAAAATCATGAAAATAAAAGCAATGTCATACATGTTTTGGTGATTGTCTTTATATTGTTCATGTCAAAACAACCAATGTTCATACATAGCATAATACATTCAAAGCATGATCAATGTTCAGGAATGTCCTCCAGATAATTCCCTCTGAAATTATGTCAATGACAGTAATAAAAGTAAGGAGAATTCTTTTTTTTTTTAAATTACCTTCTTGGTTGTCCAAGATGTTAGGAGCAAATCCACCTTCATCTCCTACATTGGTAGCTGCAAAAAAAGAAGACAATAGATAATTATGCATTTCTTGATTATGTAATGAGCAATCAAATAGGAAAATCACCAATAATTCTTTAGTAAACAGACAAAGATTGTGGGTTTGAATTCAACCCAGGTGGATGACCTGCCTTGTGTGTTAGCGTTCCCCTCCCGTTTTGTAGGTTTGATACCGTGGAAAATATTGTGTCCCTCAGATAGGATGTAAAATGGAGGCTTTAAAAGAAAACTACTCTAAAAGAAAGCTTAAAATCAGAGAACCAGGCTGCTAAACTGATAAAGACAGGGTGAGGTCTAAGGTCGCGATAAAGTAGTTGGGTGAAATCAAATCAAATCAATTAAATCTGCTATTTGACAAAGAGTGCATTGGATTATGTCAATTGACTTTCAATGAATATATTATCTTACCATCTTGCCCATACTTCTTCTTGATGACAGACTTGAGGTTCTGGTAGATCTCAGCTCCCATGCGCATCGCTTCCTTGAATGAGCTAGCTCCTACAAAGAGGAAACAGACAAATCACTTTTGTTCATTCTATACTCAAGCACATAATCTTACATGATGATATACATGTTTATAGCTTATGTACAGTTTCAGTAGCAAACAGGAAATAGAAAGGAAACATGTTATATGTAGTCTCATGTTGTTTTCATTGTATCAAAGTATTCTATCCATGATTTCCTGTATTGTAAATTGTAGTGTAAATATCTGCAAGGAATGCTAGATAACAGCTATATACACTCCCATATGCTAGAACTCTTCTACCTGATCATAGTGATCAATCTCAGCGCTGCACTTGGAGACAGGGTCTGTGTAGGCTGGTAGCGTATACAAAAACTGACATAGTGCTTATAGGTTTAACACGTTAAGTCCAGTCCAGGTTACAGTGGTTACAATTTACTTCCCATGATGGAATCCAAAACTATATTCTACCTCTAAGTTATTAACTTTTTTACTGGAGGAAAAAGCTTCACAGCCTTGCATTGTATCTTCCTCTACGTCATCTAAAATCAAAGAAATTTGATGACAGGGATGCCAGTTAGAATTGATCAGAGAGCCTGAAAATCATCTAGAATGAGCTATTTTGTACACAAAAAAGCCTAAACTGGGGTTTGAAAATAAATTGCAGGGGCCTGAATTCAGGCTATTGCCTGAAAATTGGCATCCCTGTGATGAAAATATTCAAGGGCTTAACAAAAATGAACATGAGCTTTAGATCTCTTAGAATTTATCATCTCTGAACACTGATATTTATATAATTTTCAGTGTGATTGACTGACTAGGATTTGTGTAGACACCTGGGACCAGTTTTACAAAGCCTTTTTTTCAATGACAAATGACAAAAATCAGTGACAAATCTGTTGATAACCAATCAGAAGCAAGGATTTCAGTAGCTTATAACAAAAGTTGTCATTTGTCACTGATGACAAGTTTTGTGAAACGCCCCCCTGGGGGCCGTTTTCTTTGAAACCGTCGTAAGTCTAACTTCTTGGACATCCCATTGAAATATGTGTTATAGAATTAACATGCGTTTCTACGGGATCTACAAGAAATTAGACTTATGGACTGTTTTGAGAAACTGGTCCCTGCCTGTTAACTCACCGGTAGGAAGCAACATGAATTCCTGCATAGCAAGCTTGTTACCAGCATGGCTACCTCCATTGATCACATTAAAAGCCTGTATGATAGACGAACAGAAGATGGATGATGCAATATGATCCTGCTTTCTAATATCATATAACAATGCATGCATTGGTATCTCATACATGCACATTTTGTCTCCTGTGCAGTGTCTTACAAAGACTTGCGATTAAAGGGGAAGTCCACCCTGATATTGAGTTTGAGTACAAGCAGAAAATTATGAGGAACTGGTCAGTGAAAGTTTGAGACAATTCTGACTTTTTGAAGTTCATTCAGTCAAACACTAATGGGCAACACTGTGATGTATCTTGCGAGCTCCCTTCCCATGTACTATGTATTACAAAAAATCTGAAATTTCTATCTTTTCCTCCAAAAGATTTTCAATCCTACATGCATGCATCTTAGATTTAATTATTGCAAATATGTTTCTATACAACCCCTGTATGGGAAAAAAAATCTATTCTCTCATCAATTACAAAGAAAATGAAAGATTATGAAATCTCATGTACAGAGCAAATTGGTTCTTTCGCTACTCAGATACTTTTATGTATCACTAATTATCAAAAACAAAAGTAACTAAAACATTCCTATGTTACATAAAAAATTGTGGGGCGCACACACAGTGTGGACGTTTACACTTATGCATATTGTTAGAATTATGAAATTAATTCTTACTGGGCATGGCAAGACAACATTTGAGTTGCCAGCTAGATCAGCAATGTGTCTATAGAGTGGGACATTCTTATGGGCTGCTCCAGCCTTGCACACGGCTAGGGAGACACCCAAGATGGCATTGGCTCCAAGCTCAGCTGAAAATGACAAACAGAATATTTCAGATTAATATAAAGCAAGTTCGTAATTAGGATTTGCGCATGGGCAGATAAAGGTCATACGTTCCCAAATAGTAAAACCAGCGAGATTAATGCTGGTATCATGCTCATGAAAATTATGTAATCAGTACTCTCTTATGCACCCACAGTACATTTATCTGATACACAGGTGGAAGTATTCTTCTCAAGAGGCAAACAAAAGGTATTCATGAAGCACCTCCATGACTTTGGCAGAGATTATTCTAAAATGCACGTTTCCATCGTGTAAAAGATCTGTGGATATTTGGGGGTCATGCGTTCCTAAGCTATTTACGAATTGGCTCATTAGAGCTTTTTTTTTAGTAGTACCAATACTCAAAAACAGCAAAAGTCATGACCCACCAATTAAAAATGACTTGAAGCCTTTTGGACTGCTTCCAGTCATGGTTCAGCTGAGAAATTTATGATTATTTTTCTTTGTGGGGTGGTTCTTTTCAAGTTGGCGGAGGGTGTGCATAATAAGTGAGACCTACCTGTCACTAAAGATTTTCATTCTGCGGGTGATTGATATCATCTGCTATCAAGTAAATTCTCGAACGGTGCCCCAAATTTCCCAATTCAAACCTTAAATGATATAATCTTAAACTTGTATAATGGACATATTCAAATGTTATGCATACGAAAGGGTGTTCATGACAACCCGTAAGCTAACCCAAGGCTTGCCCAACATAGCAACAAATATTGCAGTTTGTTCATGAATAACAGGGTTAATGGAATACATCATCACTAGCATCCATAAATATGAATATGTAAGTAAAGCAGTCTATTGGTAAGCTTCAAGTCATTGCATAACACTATAAAAACTTCTTTCAAGTTTAATAAGACAATGGCACAATATATTCATCATGTATCATATATATATTGAATCACTTACTTTTATTATCAGTTCCATCAAGATCTAGCATCAATCTGTCAATGTCACCCTGTTTTGTCACATCCACATTCTGAAAAAGGAGCAAAAAAGAAATCATCAAGCATAATGTATAAACACGATATAGGTTACACAGAAAATAGATTCACTCATTTTCAAAATTTGTTATCCTAATTTCCATTCATTTGCAAGGCTTTCTGTCTAATCTTACTTTGCAAACTTGTTAATCCCAATGTTCAATTTTAATTTGTATCCATATACGATAACATGACATAATCTACATGATATGGTATAGAATGATATAAAAATTAAAAAAAATAAAGAGGTATGTAGATTAGGCTTCAGTCGGTACGGTCGATCACACCGGGACCCGACCGTTGCTGTCGGGTCCCGGTTCCGTTTTTTGAGAACCGACGCTCCGAAAAAAATAACGAAATATGTAAGAAATTGCAGTTTTGCACATCACTAAAATCAATCCACCTTAAAACTTAAGTATTTAATTGTTACCAATCATATTCTAGCTCATCCTGAATCAATCCGAACTGCTGATATAAATATGGGTTGCAAGGCAGTTTGCCCCATGGGGTTGTTGTTGCCAGCTGCTAGCTAGCTACTGTACTGGCCGGGTCTCTCGGCAGGATTAATAAATCAGGTTGAAAGAAACATTAATGTTTGAATAATAAAACGGCTTTCTAAAAAGTACTTCTTTTCAACATACCGATCAAATAATTTTTAAAAGACAAAATAGATATTTTTTCTTTGATTTTGAACACCGCATGGTTTTTTTAAAAGCTGAAAATTACTTGGTAATCACAAGAAGTTTCGATACGGATAGCTGTTGCAAGGCAAGTTCCGACTAGTCTCGGAAAAATGCGCAGTGCTCCACGTTAGCTGTAATGCGTGCCAGAACGAACCCAAACAAAGACGTGATCGTAACGAGAAAAAAATCATTAAAAACTACGAGAGCACAATTGGAAAGACAACTACTCAAAATTATCGTAAGCAGATACATATAACTTGGAGGAAGAAAACAATAGTTATCCAAGAAAAGCCATATAAATAGTGATATTAAAGGAGTTACTATAGGTACAATCATTATCGGAAGGGCCTGCTGCAATATCCGAATTACACATGTTTAAATTGAACACGAGGCTATACGTAGTGTCCCTTTATACGAGGCAAATACCGCCCTCTATGGTAAAAAGCAGTATAACAAAGGATTCAAGTATTTGCAGCAGGCCCCTTGCGATAAAAATGTACCTAGTTACTCCTCGATTATCACAATTTCTGTGGCATTTCTTGGGCGATTATTGAATTCTTTGTCCAGGTTTTCTATCTGATTATGGTAATTTTGAGCAGTAGTTGTCTTTCCAATTGTGCTCTCGTAGTTTTTAATGATTTTTTTCTCAGTTACGATCACGTCTTTGTTTGGGTTCATTCTGGCACGCATTACAGCTAATTACGAGGAGCACTGCGCATTTTTCCGAGACTAGTCTGAACTTGCTTTGCAACAGCTATCCGTATCGAAACTCTTGATTACCAAGTAATTTTCAGCTTTTAAAAAAAAGCATGCGATGTTTAAAATAAGAGATAAATATTTATTTTGTCTTTAAAATATTATATGATCGGTATATTGTACAGAAGAAATTTTTAGAAAGCCGTTTTATTATTCTAACATTCATATTTTTTGACCAGATTTATTCAACCTGCATAAATCAAAATGGCGGCTCAAATGTTGTCTTTCTATTTCTGCCCCAGTTTTTTTACTTTTAGAGGTAAGAAAATGGCACTAAACATCACCAATCATGGATGAAAATAATGTCACATGGAAGAATATACCGATCTGAGCCGAGGTATGCATGTGTTGATTTATTTGATTGATAAAAAAGGTCACTTTTAAGGGACATACTGATTTTATGCGCTTTTTATAGAGGCAAGGGACAAATCCTGCGAGCTGATTTCGGGACACCGGGTCCCGATCGGTACAAGGCCGTCGGGACCCGGTTTATGAAAATCCCGACATGACTCAGGCCTAATGTAGATGTGACTTACCTTTGCAATAAGTGCGGGACCAAGGATGTCATTGATGTTACTTACTGCCTTCTCAACACCTACAAAACAAAAATGTAATTCATTGCAATATCATTAGTATATCAAGCAAATCATGATGAATGTGATTTAGAATAAACACAGGCAGCTTAAAGTATGATCAATATTTGATGTTGCAATGTGCAATGAAATTGTGTTGGTTTTTTTTTTTAAAGACCAGACCCATTTTAAAGAAAAACAAGAAATAAAATACAGAGATTGTCAATGATCCTTTTACAATTTGCCATTTAAATTGTTAGCATATATAATGAGCAGATAGGTAATAGCAGACAGGTAACAAAAAACACAAGTGGTTTGAAATATCAAAAAGGGTTCTGAAAAACTATAAAAACAAGCTTTGGTAAATTAGACAATACAAAACATGAAAGTTACTGCAAGGAAACTTCAATTTTGTAATACCAAATTTTAAAAAAAGGGGGCACAGCTCTTGTAAACAAAAATGCATTTCTCCACTTCTGTATGTCACTAGTGTAACTCAAGGTAACTAGGTAACTCAAGACTAGATATGAAGTGAAGATTGCTTGGAGATAAGGGTATTACAGGCCCACTAAAGACCAAGTTTACATCCTGCTGTTTTCAAGGAGTGAAGCAGGATATCCTTCATGAGGTGTGACTCTTCTATTCATGCAGCTTTTAGACTCTAGTTTAAGTTCAGTGTTTTCCTCTGAACATGAACCTGGATAAAATCTCACCTTTGCCCAGGAACCTTTTGGGGTCCTTGTCCCTGAGCTCCAGGGCCTCATAGATCCCAGTTGAAGCACCACTCGGTACAGCAGCACGGAAGGTACCTGGGATGAACAGTCATCAATACACACTTCAAATTCAATTGATTCTAGCACATTTATCGTGTCTGGAATAACTATAATACATGCTAAAAGTTTTTCTTCTAGAGATAGAGAATGTCAATTAAATCATTTAAAACATACTGTGTTCCAAGTTTTACTACGAAACTGTCAACTGATCTCAAAACTTGACATGTCAGTATTATTCTTCTTTTAAACCAAGTAGCAGAGTAGGGGTGGTGTATTACCCTCAACTCTTTCGATAGAATTTTATAAATGGAAATAAGTGTAATAACTTACCCAATTCGGTTGTGAGGTCAACCTCAACCGTAGGGTTTCCACGGCTGTCAAAGATCTCTCGGGCATGAACCTTTGTGACTGGCATGATTAACTTAGCACTGTTCAGGATTTTAAAAATAAGGACATGATCAATGCTTTATTTCTTTTAAAAGAGATAACTTTTACAATCTTCCTTTTGTCATCGCTGCCTATTTGTAATAGTTCCAGGATATCCCAAACTTGGGTACACTAATTACAACAAAAAAAGGATGAGGAACTTTAACTTTGGAGTTGTATTAGCTTCCTGATATCATCAGTACATAGTTACCCATGAGTAGGTCAGGTTTCCCTGATTAGTGATTACATTTTTTTTTTCCCTATCTATTTTCTGATTTGGGAGGGGGGGGTGGGAGAATGGGAGACCTATACAAGTTATATGGAAAAGAAATCTTCCACTCTTTCTTTGAGACGTGGTAGAATTTGACATACCTTCTCCCAGTAAGAATTAAGCTTGCAGCTGATGCCAATCAGCAGTTCAGCACAATGAAGAAATTTCTAGTTCTACAATGGTATCCCTGTCAACACTAACAGTAGATTTTCATCTCTTGCTAAGTGTTTACCACATTGGAAGTGGTTTTAGTGAAATGGTAATAAGAAGAAGTTTTTATCCCTCAGGTCAATATATCATAAATCTTTTAAGACTTTAAGATAAATGTTTATGACGGCTAGTGCTGTTTGATGCATACATTCAATCAAATCCAAAGGCAAAAGTACCTTTTCAAAATCAAACAATGGGAAGATTGAAAAACTGTATGCACATCCCTAGCAAGTCAAATCATGAATTAATTTATTCAAATTTTTTTCTATTAGACTGGCAAGTTGTACTGAAATGTTCGTTGATATATTATATGCATACCTGCCAACCTGAGACAAGAGAAATTAGGAGTAAATTTTTCTGGATGGACTACGAGGTCGCGAACCACCGAAGGATTGGGGTAGTAGCCCGTAGATTGGGGGGGGGGAACTAACGATCACGTTCGGGCTGCGCTGTGTATATCTTCTATGAGCGCGAGCGCGGATGTCGGCGTGATCTGGTTATCAGTGCTGTGTTATGCTTTAGTCTTATACATATATACATACATATTGGTATTTATTGAGCGCCTTTACATGAACATGCTCAAGGCGCTTTACATTTCGAAATACAAACATAATAGTTATATACTCTCCAAGTGCATTACACTCTAAAAAAAAAAAAAAAAAAAAAAAAAAAAAATTAAAATAAATTTTTAAAAAATCGGAGTTTTGAGGCATGCATTCGGAATTCGGAGTTGGTATGAAAAATGCGGAGGAACTCCGCCTAAATCGGGGTGGTTGGCAGGTATGTATATGTGTGTACTGTGTACCTATGCTTAGTGTTTGTCAGTTAATGTGTGAATTAGTGCGTCACCTGTATTTTCATGAACGATCCTTATTACTGATCTTGGCTATGCAAAAAAAAAAGGATTCCGCGATGATGCTCCATGATGCATTCCGCGATGATGCTCCATGATGCATGTATCAATCACTTACGCAGCACAGAGACTTTCACATTTAATGAAAAATCCTCGAGAAGACGGACAACTCGTAGAATTAGACGGAAAACTGGGGGTATTTGATCACGCACAATTCTTTTTTGCATTGCCAGCTCGCGTTATCAGTAACTCTACACCCATAGAGGGCCGAAGAAAAAAGATTGACAATCCTTTTTCTTTTTTTTAATGATGCAATTTGTCCGCGTTTGCGAGGATATCCTCGTTTATGCAGACGATCCTTATTCTCGGACCAGTGCCCCTACTGATCAAGATGAAGAAGTTGTTTTTAATCATTTTTAGTTTAGTTTTAGTTTAGTTTCATTTTCAGTAATTTTAGTCTTATTTACTTAGATTGTTCTGGAAGTTTTTACTAATAATTAATCGTGGCCAGAATCTGTAGAATAACACTTCTTGTATCATAACAAAATTGTCACAAAATCGCACATCATTCCCCATGCATGCATGCTCACAAATGTAATACCGCTGCTCTGAGCTGAGCTGACTGAGCACGCTCAAAGCTCATGCACCTCGCCCCACGTCCCCCCGATAATCACGACACCGCGCACGGAGTGCGGACCTTATAGTATACGACCCTGGATAATCAGCCGGTCAGCTCAACGAGTCGGCTGCTCGAGCGATTTTGCACGTACACACATCGCGAATGACATTTTTGCAAAATCATTACTGCGCAGTCGATAACAGCATCGTAAATTTAGAAATTTGTTAATGTATAAAAACATGAATAATAGCTCAACATCACGCTTGTCTTAAAAAAATACTTACAATTGCAAATTCCCGTGTAAAATAGAATTTTAAGTGCTCTCGGTCACGTCACCTCTGTCGATGTCTGTCTCAGCTGGTAGCATATATTGGCACCAAGATTAACGGCGATATGAATATTCATTATTCCCTACGTCACAGACGTGCGGCGTGCGTACTCTGTCTATGGATCTGTCTTATATACAGGTACATGTACTGTACTAGTACAAGAGTACGTTCGCAAGCATTACTACATACATTGCTCCGGAATGAAGAGAATCATTATAAAGGACGAATTACTCCGTGAAGCCAAGTACAAGCAGGGAATTGAAATAGCAAACGTTCCTCGGAGCGGCTATACAATCTCTAATCTAGCTAGTTTTGTAATGACAGTTTATAGGAAAATGGACATTTAGTAGGCCTACTGTTTAGTTGTTCAATAAAACCACTCAGTTTGATTTGATTCGAGATATATCTCATTAATAAAACAGTATAAAGGCTGTATGAGTCTCGGACGAACCATCGCCACTAATCTTGGTGCCAACACCGTTAATCTATGCTCCAAATTTAGTAATACATTTTGTGTGCCCTATAATGACCCGGGGTTGGATTATTTAGGAGAACAGAAGATTGATATTGTTAAGTTGTTTCATAACATCTCTCAGTTTGATTTGATTCGAGATATATTTCATTAATAAAACAGTATAAAGGCTCTATGAGTCTCCAAGAACGATCGCCACTAATCTTGGTGCCAACACCGTTAAACTATGCTCCAAATTTAGTACTACCTTTTTTGTGCCCTATATGCTAAAGACCCATGCAGGGTTGGATTCTTTAGGAGAATGGAAGATTGATATTGTTGTTTCATAACATCATTCAGTTTGATTTGATTCGAGATATATCTCATTAATAAAACAGTATAAAGGCTCTATGAGTCTCACACGAACGATCGCCACTAATCTTGGTGCCAACACCGTTAATCTATGCTCCAAATTTAGTAATACATTTTGTGTGCCCTATAATTAACCGGGGTTGGATTATTTAGGAGAACAGAAGATTGATATTATTAAGTTGTTTCATAACATCACTCAGTTTGATTTGATTCGAGATATATCTCATTAATAAAACAGTATAAAGGCTGTATGAGTCTCGGACGAACCATCGCCACTAATCTTGGTGCCAACACCGTTAATCTATGCTCCAAATTTAGTAATACATTTTGTGTGCCCTATAATGACCCGGGGTTGGATTATTTAGGAGAACAGAAGATTGATATTGTTAAGTTGTTTCATAACATCTCTCAGTTTGATTTGATTCGAGATATATTTCATTAATAAAACAGTATAAAGGCTCTATGAGTCTCCAAGAACGATCGCCACTAATCTTGGTGCCAACACCGTTAAACTATGCTCCAAATTTAGTAATACATGTTGTGTGCCCTATAAAGACCCGGGGTTGGATTATTTAGGAGAATGGAAGATTGATATTGTTAAGATGTTTCATAACATCACTCAGTTTGATTTGATTCGAGATATATCTCATTAATAAAACAGTATAAAAGCTGTATGAGTCTCGGACGAACCATCGCCACTAATCTTGGTGCCAACACCGTTAATCTATGCTCCAAATTTAGTAATACATTTTGTGTGCCCTATAATGACCCGGGGTTGGATTATTTAGGAGAACGGATGATTGATATTGTAAAGTTGTTCCATAACATCACTCAGTTTGATTTGATTCGAGATCTTTCTCATTAATAAAACGGTATAAACGCTGTACAAGTCTCAAACGAACCATCGCCACTAAACTTTGTGCCAACACCATTAAACTATGCTCCAAATTTGGTTATACATTTTGTGTGTCTATAAAGACCGAGGCTTCCCAGGATCATTTAAGAGAATGGAAGATTGATATTGAGAAGTTGTTCGATAACATCACTCAGTTTGATTTGACTGCGCATTATGTCTCTTAATAATGGTGTGAAAGTCTCTAAAGAGAAGAAAATAAAGAGAGAAAGAGAGAGAGAGAGAGAGAGAGAGAGAGAGAGAGAGAGAAGAAAAAGATGTGAAAGGGAAAGAGGAGAGAAAGGAAAAGGAAGAAAAGGAAAAAGAAAAGAAAAAGGGGGAGGGGAAGAAAGAGATCAGGGGGAGGGGGGCCGAAATGGGCCTTGCCTCCCATGATGTTGCTTCCACTTCCCCCTCCCAGCAAAACAAAAAGAGAGAAGAAGGAAAGGGAAAGCAAAAAGGAAAAGAGGAGATAACGGAAAGGAAAAAAAAAGAGGAAGAAGATAAGAAAAGAAGGGGAATATCAGTTACTATTTTTTCCGCCAACAAGTTGTGGATCCGGGGGGGGCAAAAGGCCCTTGCCTCTTCCCCCCCCCCCCCCCCTCCCCCACCGCCAAAAAAGAAGGGGAAAAAGGGGAAGGGAAAGAGGAGAGCTAAAAGGGAACAAAAAAGAGGAAGCGGGGGGGGGGGGGGGGTAAGAGGACACTTTTTGTTGGGTCTCGAAATTTGAAAATTTGACATTTTGTTCCGTAGGGGGGGGGTGTTGAGGTCACCTTTTTTAGGACAGCCATTGGCATAATTAAAAAGGGGGGGGGTTGCTCCAAGATACACACATAACAAAAAACCGAACAGGGGGAGGTTCAACCCCAAATCCCCCCCCCCCCCCTCCGTACGCGCCTGCTCTTCTGATTACAGTTTTCGACTCTTAATCCTCGTTTGTTTTCAGTCCCCCCCCCCCCTCCCGCGCGAAGCGCGGAAGCTTGTACATTTCATTAAATCATTAGAGAAAGAAGACGATTCGTTGTACCGGTTTCGACTCTTAATCCGCGCGCGCGAAGCGCGGAAGCTTTTACGTTTCATTAAATCTTTAGAGAAAGAAGACGATTTGTTGTACCGTTCCCGACTTTTAATCCACACCTCCTGCGCCAAGCGCGGAAGCTTTGACATTTAAATCAATTATTAGAGAAACAAGACGATTTTGATACCTTGTCCGCCCCAGGAAACTCATGGGTTGAAGGCAAATTACGGTCAGATAAGTATTCAGGGGCCTGCCTCAGGGCCCCTGGTGGGGTCGAGGGTGCGGAAACCCCTGAATCTCAGGGGTTTCAGGCATTTGATTACGGTCAGATGAACAGAATTTTTATACCTTATTTGTGAAACTGGCAGGACACTGATTTGCGTGAGGTCCAGCGAGCGGAGCCCCAAGAAGCTCAGGGGTTTTAGGCATTACATTGCCGTCAGATTAGCATCCAGTAGGGTCTAGGGGGCAGAGCCCCCGGAAGCTCGGGGGTTTAGGCATTTGATTACGGTCAGATGAACATATTTTTATACTTTATTTGTGACACTGGCAGGACACTGATTGGTGTGAGGTCCAGCGGGCGGAGCCCCCAGAAGATCAAGGGTTTTAGGCACTAAATTTTGGTCAGATGAGTAGGCAAGGGGCCTGCCCAAGTGCCCTTGGTTGGGTCCCGGGGACAGAGCCCCCGGAAGCTCAGGGGTTTTAGGCACAAAATTGTGGTCAGATGAGTATCAAGGGGCCTGCCCAAGGGCCCTTGGTTGGGTCCCGGGGACAGAGCCCCCGGAAGCTCAGGGGTTTTAGGCGTCTAATTACGGTCAGATGAGCAATTTTTTGATACCTTATTTTGTTGTGACACTGGTAGTTAACTATTTTTTCTTTCTTGCTCTCTCTCTTTCTATTTCTCTTTTCCCATTCGCAGGCCAAAAAAATGAAAAAGTTAAATTCCAACTGCATTTGAAAGATAATACTACTTTAGAACTTCCCTAAAAAAGGTGGGGCTTGAAAATGTCTTAAAGTGGGAAAATAACGGCTATTAGTTGTCAAATCGACTTTAGGGCTATAAAGCCCAAAAGTAATAGTCTTGATTTTCAGACAATTGTACCGAATGTTCATACGTTTTATGCTGCGCAAAGATTCAATCAGTTTAATCTTGGCCATCACAAGAAGTGGGTTATTGATGTAGACAAATGTTCATGTACCCTTTACAACTCTTTTCATGTATGTTATTACCAAAGAAGAAGAAAAGCCAGTCAGTCACTCAATAGTGTCTGACAGTGAAGTTTAGCAAGTACACGGGTTTCCTTGCATATTTTGAATATGAGGACACTGCTAAGGTCTAAATTTCACAGATAGGACATACATGACATATTCATAATTCCTGCAAAGTTCTACAGCATTTGAGGTTGGCTGCAAAAGGGACATAGTACCTTTAAAATGCTTTTCCAAAAATAAAATTTGGGGGGGGGGGCTGGAGGCTCCCGATCCCCGCCGTTCAGCGGGCCCTGACATGTAGGCATCTCAAAAAGCATATTTCTTGCCTGGCTGTTAATTTACAAACGCATACAAAAGTATAATTTACTAAAGAATGAGGACAAATCTCGGAAAATTATGTCATTTCAGCATTATTTGTAAACCACCGTTATGGAATTAGAAATAAACCACGTTTAAATTTTATTTCCCCCGAGCCCCCTCCTCGATCAATACGCCAGTTCCCCCCCCCCCCCCCCCCCCGATCTACTCTTTGTTGGCGGAAAAATCGCAACTGATCTCCCTTACCTTTCTTATTTCTCTTTTTTTCTTTCCCTTTCTCTCTTCTTTCCCTTTCTCTCTTCTTTCCCTTTCCATTCCCTTCCTTCTCTTTCTGTAAGATTTGATGGGGGGGGGGGGGCGAGGGGGAGGTAAGGTCATTTCGGCCCCTTCTCCACATGTTGTTGGCGGGATTAACTGCAAATGATCTATTTCCCCTTCTTTTCCTTCTTTCTCTCTTTTTTTTTAGCGGGGCAGGGGAGGCAAGGGCATTTTGCCCCATCCCCGCCCCGATCCACAACTTGTTGGCGGAAAAATTGCAACTGATACCCCCTTCTTTCTATTTCCTTCCTTCTCTCTTATTTTTTTGATGGGGGGGGGGGGGAGAGAGGGGGAGGCGAGGCTCTTTCGCCCCCGCCCCCCGATCACTTCTTCCCCCTTTTCTTTTCTTCTTCCTCTTCTTTCTTTCCCTTTCTCTCCTCTTTCCCTTCTTTTCCTTTTCTCTTTCTCTTTCTTTTTTTGTCCTCCTTTTTTTTCCCCTTTTTTTTTCC